TTGACCATATGGTTTTATGTTTTATTTTGTGTTTGAATTTTTCTTGTGTTTGGCTAGTATAAACAGCTTTGAGAGCTTTGATATGCAGTGATGTATTTTTGCCCTTGAACAGATGGATACAAGGATAGAGGGAAAGATGGATGGCCAAATAGATAAGAAATGAATGAATAAATGAATGATGGACAATATGAACACAGATTATTTTGTAACCTTTAAAGGCAACCTGATGCAGGAACCTAAACTTTGCTCAGTTTAAGAATTTCATCTTTATGTTTATCTTCCCAATTTATAAGAGGTTAGCTGCAGGGTATTCATTCAAATTTTAAAACACCTAATAAGTATGTTTTGGTATTGTGGAGCAGAAGATAAAAGTAAACAACACTTTCCTTTCCTTCCATGAAGCTGGACAGTGATCATATTTGTATTATTGTAATGTAGTAGTGTTGAAATGGATCTCAAAAATGTATCTGGATCAAGATTTAATATATTTAACCGCCTCAAAAATTAATTGATTCAAGACTCCTTATATGTAGTAAACATACTTGAGTAAGAACTGAGCCGACAGAGCTAAAATAGTAGTATGCTCCTTATTACCTTGCCATATTTGGATATAGCAACGTTGCTAGGAAGTAATATTTCCCTTTAGCACCAGGGTGAAGATCTGCTAGCGTAATGATACTACAAGTTCTGTTATTTGATACCATTTGGATACAGTGCTAACAGGATGGGGACGAAGTTCGAAAAGAGCTTCTTTATGGAGTTTGTTTCCACCTGAACAAATTTTACAGGAATAAAAAAACATTTTTTCCAGTTTTCCAAGTCCTGTACCATGATTTGATACATTATAGTTTTGATTTGTACTTAGTATTCTACTCCTATCCAACAATGTGCCCTACCTATAGCTCATTTTTCTTTTCTTTTTTGAGGATTTATTGCCTTTTGGAAACAAACTCCACATTTGGCTCACCTGAGGTGTGAAAATATCCAATACATTGTATTAATCTAATCTAGTGCACTTTCTTCTCCCTTCTCTCATGGGCTGCAATTGAAAACTGTTTGGGTCTATTCAACCATGGGTATAAACATTTTTTCCCATCACTTCCAGATCACTTTAGTGGTTGTTTATATTCTTTCACTCTATACTTTATCTTAATCGTGTTAGTCATGCTACATTTTTCATGTTATGGCCCTTGAGACTTCTTCATTTAATTTTTAGAAATATTTGTAACTCACCTCACACCTCTGAGGATGCTTGCCATAGATGCAGGCGAAACGTCAGGAGAAATGCCTCTAGAACATGGCTCTATAGCCCGAAAAAACCCCCACAAGAACCTAATATTTGTAACTGTTCTTTTTAAAAGAAATCAATAAATTTACTCCAGTCTGTTTTGTTTGATGGTAGTCTGTTCTGGGCGATTTGTTGGGTCAACAGATCCATATTCATAATATCAATCGCCTTTTCAATCCAATTATAATTCCAAATATAATTGCAAGACATCATGAAATGGAAAAAAAAGATCTGCCAGTCTAATATAGACCTCTGAAAATATAAAGGTATATATAGTAGAGTCTTGCTTATCCAACATAAACGGCCCATAGAATGTTGTATAAGTGAGAATGTTGGATAATAAGGAGGGCTTAAGGAAAAGCCTATTAAACGTTATATTTGCCTTTACAAATCAAGCACCAAAACATCATGTTTTACAACAAATCGACAGAAAAAGCAGTTCAATATATGGTAACATTATGTAGTGATTACTGTATTTATGAATTTAGCACCAAAACAGACAAGGGTTCTTTTTTTTCTCCCACCCTGGACATTATTCTGGGCAGGAGGCAGACTGTTTTGGCTAATACAGAATGTGGGATAAGCGAAGTTTGGATAAGCAAGACTTTTCTGTATATAAAATTTTGTAGGTTAGATCCAGAGACCAAAGAAGAGAGTGGCCTAAACCTGACTTTCTCCCTGTAGCTCCTACAGCCTCTTGCTTCAGTCTGTTTAGCAATTCAGTTCAATAGCATTGTGATTCAAAGTGTAAACTATGATTTAAGAACTGTGTCTCAATAGTTACATTTACATTTGTATCTATATGGTCCCAAAGGCCTATATTTTTTAAAACAGGATTTCTAAGATGGGATTGGAGTGGTGAATTAAAATAATTGTATATTGATCTAGCTTGCATCCCCCAGATGCCAAGCCGTTTTCTGTATTTTCTGCAGAATTCTATGTCAACAAACAATCCTGTATAAATAGTACTATATATCCAGATCACTGATTAGCCAAAATTCCTTGGCAGCCCAGCTTCTTAGCTAGAGAAACAACGCTTTAATATATTCCATAATATCATTTGAAAGTCAGGAAAAGAATGCAAAGCATGGAAGGATGATTCAAGTAGGACAAAGGTAAAAACGGTTAGAGTTCACTAAGTGACAGGAGAGACTTACGTTTTCAAAACACTCCAGATAAATATTCAATTGCAGACGCATTGCAGTTCACTGTCACACAGTGGCAGGGTCTAAAATGGAATGTAACAATCTACAATGCTTCTATTTGGACACTACATTAAGAATTCAACACAACAGTTGGGACAGGGGAACGTGACAGGATTACGTTGCTGCTTAACAATGTAGTTATGAAGCTAGACGTTGGCTCATGTGGTAGCCAAATGTTTGAAAGGAAATGAACATCATGTGGGCAACAAGCCAGGAGAAGGTGTGATAGTTATTCTTGGAATGGATAGGGATTTTTAAGACTCTGCCTCAGCATTTTAACTCTCTGAAGTGACCATTTGGTAATCATAAACAGCCAAACATAGTTGTATAACTACAAATATGAGAAATAAGGAATATGGGTGAAGTCACTTGCCATGAGTCCAAGGATGTGGGAAGATAACAATGCTCAGAACATACCTACATATAGCACTTATAGAATCATAAAATCAAAGAATTGGAAGGGACCACAAGGGCCATGCAGCCCACCCCATGCAAGAATTTGCAACCCTGACAGATGGCCATCCAGTCTCTGTTTAAAAACCTCCAGAGAAAGAGACTCCAACACATTTCCAAGGCAGCATATCTCACAGCTGAAGAGTTCTTACCACCAGGAGGTTCATCTTTACATCTAGGTAGAATTTCTTTTCCCATACTTTGAATCTCTTGCTCTATGTCTGCAGTCTCTGGAGCACAGAAAACAAGCTTACTCCATGTCCAATATGAAATCTTTTCAAATACCTAAATATGGTTATAATGTCATCCCTTAACTTCCTTTTCTCCAGGCTAAACACATCTAGCTCTATAACCTGCTCCTCACATGAGATGGTTTCCAGACTTGGATCATTTTGGTCACCCTTCTCTGGATACGTTGCAGCTTGACAATATCCTTCTTGACAATATCCTTTTTAAATTGAAGGGCCCAAAGCTGGACGCAATATTCCAGGTGAGGCTTGACCAAAGCAGAAGAGAAAGGCACTATTATATCCCTCAAAGTAGACACACCTGTTGATGCAGCTTAGAATCACATTGGCCTTTTCAGCTGCTGCATCACACTGTTGACTCATTTTCAACTTGTGGTCTCTTAAAGCCCCATCTACACAGGAAACAGATTAGCCTGAGGCATCCAGATGATGTTTCAGAATATCTGATCAAAACTGGAATAAACTGAATTTACTAGGTTTGAAAAATACTAATTATCCGGACCTTCCCAGTTTTCAAGCCAGGCGTCACCTTATATTCTTGTCAGAGTTTGACTACCAAGAAATATCAGGGCAATTGAAATCTCCCATTACTATCACATCTCTCTTCTCTGAATGTGAGTCATCATCTGTCCCAGGAATACACAATCTAAATCCTCAACTTAAAAGCCTATGGCTTTTAAATTGGCCCCCACAATGACATTACCAAGGTGCCATCTCTCCATGCAGTGCCCCTATCATTTCCTTGTTCTTCCTGGCTTCCAGGACTTAAGGCATGAACCTCTTCACAGATGTGAATATCCTATCCTATCCTATCCTATCCTATCCTATCCTATCCTATCCATCCATCTAGTTTTATCTATAACAGTTAAGACTATTGTCTCCAGACTCCAGCATATGATGAACCCCTGCCTTCAAGAGAATTGGATTACTTGTGTTACTTCCACATTGTTGTATTGATAAATTCTACATCAGCTGTATTTGCATGGCTTGAATTTTGAACTGAAGTACACATTTTGGGCTTTCTTATACTTTCTAAGAAAAACACAGAGAATGAATGTTGGCAAAAATAATGTAAAACAGTGCATCATGCATCCTCCTTTTCCCACAGTACCTGTTTACTGCCAGGTAAGTCTTTTTGTAAATGGAGACATGCAAAAAATGGTACCAAAATATTCCCTTTGCTGAAAGAGATTACATTGGGCTAGTGCACCATCAAAGATATTCATATACTAGAATGCTGAGAAGCTTGGAGCAAATGCATTAATTTAGAAAGGAAATGGGATAAAGCTATTATGCAATTTACTTGTACTTTTTCTTTAATAGAAACTGAATTAAAAGCAGATGTTTTAATTATGCTGTTTTTAAATTTTAGTTTTAGGCATATTTGAGTAGGTGTTATTTGCTGTAATATAATGAAGTGTATAATTTCTGACGAAGTGTGTGTTACAGGCTATGGAAAAAACTGGGTTGAATAGCCAATCACTTCTCCTAAAAATGAACTTACTGTCCTCTATTTGAGCTATCTTGTGGTGGATCCAATGACAACAGGCTTGTATAATCCACTACTGTTGTTATGTGCCTACAATTCATTTTTGACTTACGGTGACCCTGTTACAGGGTGTTCTGGGCAAGATTTGTTCAGAGAGTGTTTGCCTTTCTCTTCCTCTGAGGCTGACAGTGTGATTTCCTCTGGCTATGTGGGAAACTGAACACTGGTCTCCAGAGTCATAGTCCGACGCTCAAAGCACAACGTACACCATGTTGAATAATCAAATAATGTTGCATTATTTTCATATTGTAACAATATTGATGTTGCATACATTTTTTCTTTATTCACGCAACAAAGAATGCAAAACAACTTTTTGAAGTAGGTAATAACAGTGATATGGCTAGGTTATTCATGGACTGTTTTGAATTTAACATGAAAAAATAGACTTAAGAACAGTTTTCCACATGCAAGAGGGCACTTGCTGTACAAAAATACAAATTTTATTACACACAAATTTGGGATATAATTTAATTGTACAATTAGATGATGTAAAATATTTCTGGTACTATTCCACTGGGGTAAAGTAAAGGAGGAATGTTTTCTTATGAAGTATCTGTATTACAAACTGGTTAGCATACACTAGTTATGTAATATACACAAAATAATTAAAAAATGCCTGGTTACAACTATGTAAGTAGTGTAGTATACATTTTAAACAACCGTAGAACAAACAGGATCAATATTTCATAAAGTACAAAGAAAGTACTTCATATAAAAAAACCCACACAAATGTGCAAATACCAGTTTTCACAGGTGATGGTTTATCATCTGAAAATCCTAGAAAAAAATCCTTCATTCCTCTTTGTTTGTAATTTCAAATGTATTAAAAGCAGAGGCATTTCCTATTAGGCATATGGTTTGAAATCTGTATTCACTATTTGATAGAAAAAATAGTGGTTATTTTAAAGGCAAAGAATTTTAGTAACCGAAGTCAGTTTTGGTCAGTTGTTATTGGCTTTGTTTGTAGTAATGCTAAGCCACAGCCGAGTATTACATCGAGGAGGCACAGTGAGCCTTGGGGATCTGAACCGTTCCTCCCCTCCTCTTATTGGAGGAGGAGACTGGAAAGTTTTGCATCCGTTTTAGAGTTACCATTCAGGAAAACAAGCCAGCTTCATAAGTGATGTTTTGACTTTTACTCGTTTTCATTAAGCATAGTTAACACCAACTACCGTTTGTCTTGGATTTGATAGCTTGACAAGCTGGAGATGAAGGGACTCCTCATGGCCGAACCACATATGGAAGGGCAAGTACTGAGCCCAGGGTTTGCTGAAACTTCTTCTATAATGCTAAACTGTGGTTGAACATTACACATGAACTCAGCCATTAAGTTATAAGTAATGTTACCAAACTCTTGGAAATACTGAGTAGTATATACAAACTCTGACATAGAAATTTGACATTTAACATATTAGTATTCAAAATGAAGACATTGCATTTTAACTATCTAGAGACTGCACATTTAAAACTCATCACAGGTTGTAACAAGTGAAACTTGTATTATATTTTTCAATAGTAAAAAAACCCAAAATAACAAAATTTTCTCAAAGATTTTTAAAAGATAAACAAATACAAGGTTAGCAAATGTAAAAAAAAAGGACACCCTAAAAACATTCTTCCAATTCATGTGCAAAAATGTTTTTAAAGTATCAAATTGCATCATATAAAGCCAAATTATGTACATATCATTATCTTTAATTGCTGTTATCTAGCTAGCATTTTTGCTATAAATAATTTACTTCTGTCCTTCAAAATGTCTGTTTTCAAGGATTTCAGTGCAAGTGTTCAATTTATTTAGTGCATTTATCATTGTGTTATTTCATTTTATAATGAACAGAAAAGCACATAAGTTACTATACAACTTTTATATTTCTTCGGCTTCTCACCTTGCCAGATCTGATTTGTTAACAGGCTCCTTCTCTTGTCTGTTTTATTTTAATTTCCACTGATCTGCTGGAACAGGAAGAGACAATGCAGAGACCCCCACCCCCAATGCATTCTTTAATTAATTAGTGGTTACTTAATTTTGGTAGGAAAAAAAGAAAAACCTTAGAAAAAAAAGAAAATAGCATCTTGTCAGTACTGCATATTGATCTGTTTCAAACCTAAAGGTCTTGAAGTTTTGAACAATGTTCTCCCAGCAAAAGCACCGAGTTTGAAAATAAACTCCTCTTCCTGCAACAGAGTAGTTAAGTGGAAATAGAAAGTTATTTGTGGGGAGATGATTTATAAATACTTAGATTTAAATACTTGTGAGATGAAGCTCTTTCAGTGCAATCCTGCGAGATTGGAGCTTTATGAAGAGAAAAAGTTGCCCAGGCAAAAAGGTGACCAATTTTGAGGGTCCTTGTATTGAAAAAAAAAAGTCATTATATACAAATGATGAACTTAAGGAAATAGTATGTTTAGAGCATTTATGGCTGAATATAAGGCTGTTTGATTCTCAATAACAATTTTCTCACAATCCACAGTTAATCATGCATGTTGAAAGGATTTTCTTTCCATGGTTGGCAGCAAACTGAGATTCTTTGTTATGCATCTGAAATGCAACTCTGTATCCTGTCCATCCATTGCTGGGCGCTTTGTGCTTCTTGGGCACAGAAATTGTACACACGTTTACTTGTCTTCAGCTGCAAAATTGAGATAAAAAGGCAGTACAATTATATCTTATACAGTGCACACTTTCCACACTTATATGAAGCATGCTTTACAGTAAATTTATCTTTCTTTATCAGAAATTGTATAGGTAATTCAAGAGTCAAACAGAAAGGTCACCTGCTACAATAAGAACAACCCTGAATAGAGAGATGAGGAACCTCTCCAACCACTTGGTGTCTCCTTGGACTTTCCCCCATAGTCCTCACACCTGTCACTTAGAGAAGTGGTGTAGTATCTTATGTCCCTTTGAGGCCCTATTACCTCTTCCTCACAGTGCCCCAACAGAAGGGTCCTTGAGAGCAGGCATGGGCAAATGTCAACCCTTCAGGGGTTTTGGACTTTAACTCCCACAATTTCTAATAGCTGGTATGCTGTTAGGAATTGTGGGAGTTGAATTCCAAAACACCTGGAGAGCTGAAATTTGCCCATGCCTGCTTTAGAGGGCTTCCCTTACCCTCCTACATTCCCTCTTTTGGCTTCCTTTGAGCTGTTTTCTCCAGTTTCCACATTGGAAAGAAAAACTGGAGGGCTGATCAGGGAAATCTTTCGTAAAAGGAAACACTGCATGCTGAACAACTAACAATGCTTACTGATTATGTGTGTGTGTGTGTGGGGTGTTTTAAGAAAAGAGTGAATGTGAAAGACTATGTGTGCAAAGTCTCACATTAGATTAAAGGTTGTAGATTTGGGGTATCAAGAGTTTCCCTAACTATGCCCTCTTGCTTAATGTTTGCATCAACAGTTGACTTCTGTTGGCTCGTCTTCAACAGATATTGCTCCACGTCCTACTCTCCATAGCTGGCTTGTTTTCTGCTGCCCTGGAGATTAGGATACGGAGCAATGGCTTCAAACTATAGGAAAGGAGATTCCACCTGAACATTAGGAAGAACTTCCTAACTGTGAGAGCTGTTCAGCTGTGGAACTCTCTGCCCCTGAGTGTGGTGGAGGCTCCTTCTTTGGAGGCTTTTAAACAGAGGCTGGATGGTCACCTGCCAGGGGTGTTTTGAATGCGATTTTCCTGCTTCTTGGTAGGGGTTGGACTGCATGGCCCACAAAGTCTCTTCCAACTCTATGGTTCTATATAATGCTTATAAAGATTTTAAATCTAATAGCAGTGTATTTTCTCATCTGTATGCAAGGCTAAAACCAGTATGCTTCAATAAGATCACAATGTTGTCCTGGAAGTGGGCAGTGGGGTGGTTCTATATGCAGGTCTAGTCATGAAGAATGTGACGCGGTAGCGGCTACAGGATTAATGCTCCAAAAGCACTTTTGAGATAATCATTCCTTAGCAATTATCTCTGTATCTCTTTCAGTATCTGTTGGCCACACACTTACATCAAAGAATGCTTTCTCATTGGTATGTTTCGGAGCACCAATGGTTGGTGAAGCGGGTATCACACTTTCCACTTCTGCAAGGTCAATATGGCCCCTACAGCATGCATCGTCCATTGAATCGTAATACCTTAGCTAGAGCGGAAAAGAGAAATATTATGAAAAGTAATAATAAATAGATGCAAATGTGAGAATATGCTATAGTGTGTCTTTCAGGGAGTCTCAACTATCATAGATTGGTTAGCATTAAAATTTACAGTAATCTCAGAGGGGATTAGAAAAGCTGAACACATGTTCTGTAGATAACTAATAGCATAAATTAATTCTCCAGGCTGTAAAGATTATTCACAAGTAGTTCTCAAAAGTTCATTTAACACACCTTACTACAGAGAGGAAAGTATGCAAATCCCTCCTATAGTCTCAAGGATTAAGGGGTTGGTAACAGACCACAAATTTCAGTAATTCTAGCACCTTTCTACTCCTCTCTTTGGGAAAGGATATTCAAAACAGCATGAAATAAGATGCAAAGAATCAACCAAAGGGAATCCAATATATTCTGGTTGTTTCGAGTTTTTATAACATTATGCAACAAGAGGCATCTTTACATAACTGTCTGCACCACTGACCACTTCACCCTTCAAAAACTTCACCCTTCGCATCCGGTTGTGTCCATCAGCTGACCATCCCCTTTCCTCTGAACATCCCAAATCTGCTTTGAAAGGTTATGAAGTTTCCTGGAACAGCTTTTCATATCATACATGGAAACTGTGGTTAGGGCTAAGAGAAAATGGGAAATGTCTGTTGATGATCATTAGCATAATTTACCTGGTGTTTAGTAACATCGAGCACAAACCATCGAGGTTTCCAGCCTTTTAGCAAAGCTCCTCTTTTGTACAGTGTACCTTCAAATGACCTTGGGAAAATCACATCTTACTTTAAGCATCTTACACCACCAACAAAAAAAATATGTTGAGCATACATAGTGATACATAAAAAGAAATACTGTAGATTTATCTCTTAATTATTGTGCCCAATCATTGCTGTTTAATTTATCTGTATGATTACTGTATATTCCTCCATAAACAAGACATATTTATTTTATTTTATTTATTACAGTCGCTTATACCCCGCCCTTCTCACCCCGAGGGGGACTCAGGGCGGCTTACACAACAAGGCACAATTCGATGCCCGCATTACATGATAACAAAACATAACATCAATAACAATAGCAATTATAACAATGATAACAATTAACCTAAGCAGTCATTATTATCGGCGACACATCCAAAAAACCCATAAAGTAAAAGCAATTAAAACAATTAAAACAGTAAAAGCAATACAAACCTCATTGCTGGACAGCGTTTAACAGACTCATAGTTAGGTTCTACTTTCCGCACATTGTCAGTCCTATCCATCTGGATTCCATATCTAATTGTCAGGATGCCCAAAGGCCTGGTCCCATAGCCACGTCTTTACCTTTCTCCTAAAGGCAAGGAGGGATGTTGATGTCCTAATTTCCCCCGGGAGTGAGTTCCACAGGTGGGGGGCCACCACTGAGAAGGCCCTGCTCCTCGTCCCCACCAGCCTCACTTGTGATAGTGGTGGGGTCGAGAGCAGGGCCTCCCCAGATGATCTCAAATTCCGGGGTGGGACGTAGAGGGAGATACGTTCGGACAGATACGCTGGACCGGAACCGTAAAGGGTTTTGTAGGTCAAAACCAGCACCTTGAATTGTGCTCGGAACTGGATTGGCAGCCAGTGGAGCTGACACAACAAGGGAGTTGTGTGTTCCCTGTATGTCGCTCCGGTGAGCAGCCTGGCTGCCGCTCGTTGGACCAGTTGAAGTTTCTGAACAGTCTTCAAGGGCAACCCCACGTAGAGTGCGTTGCAGTAGTCTATACGGGATGTAACAAGAGCGTGGACCACTGTGGCCAGATCAGACTTCCCAAGGTACGGGCGCAACTGGTGCACAAGTTTTAATTGCGCAAAAGCTCTCCCGGCCACCGCAGACCTGGGGTTCCAGGCTCAGTGATGAGTCCAGGATCACTCCCAAGCTGCGAACCTGCGTCTTCAGGGGGAGTGTAACCCCGTCTAACACAGGCTGTAACCCTATGCCCTGTTCGGTCTTATGACTGACCAGTAGGACCTCTGTCTTGTCTGGATTCAGTTTCAATTTGTTAGCTCTCATCCAGTCCAACACAGCAGCCAAGCACCGGTTCAAGGTCTGGACAGCCTCCTTGGTGACAGGTGAGAAGGAGTGACAGATCTGAACATCATCCGCGTAGAGATAACATTCAGTCCGAAACTCCGAATGATCTCCCCCAGCGGCTTCATGTAGATGTTAAACAACATTGGGGACAGAATTGAACCCTGAGGGACTCCACATGACAACGGCTGTGGAGCCGAACAGGTGTCACACAGCAACACCTTCTGGGACCGTCCCTCAAGAAAGGACTGGAGCCACTGCAAAGCAGTACCCCCAAGTCCCATATCCATGAGGCGTCCCAGAAGAATACTGTGATCGACGGTATCGAAGGCCGCTGAGAGGTCCAGCAGAACTAACAGGGACACACTCCCCCTGTCTAGCTCCCTGCGCAGATCATCTACCAAGGCGACCAAGGCTGTTTCCGTTCCATGTCCTGGTCTAAAGCCAGACTGTGCCGGATAAGGTCTATGAGTTATGGGTGTTGCGATTCATTGACAGGAACTGAATTGCTTAATTACTTCTTAGATGGTCTGTATTGTGCATTACAGGGTAATCATGATTCCATCTCTATTTCCACTCATCATTAGCATTTTGCCCTTTGCTTTAATTAAAAGGCAGTTTAAATAACAATATAAATAACTCTAGAAGAAAATTTCTACGAATGAGATGAGCATCTAAACAGAAATTCCCCTGAAGGAAAAATGCAAATAAAGCGAAAAATGTATTTAGCAAAGATTCTATCTGTGTCCTAGATAATTCTGGCATTAAGTTTTAAATTATTATACATAGTAATTATGCAACTGGTGGGGATGAGAGACAGGGCCTTCTCAGTGGTGGCCCCTCAGTTGTGGAACTCCCTCCTCATTGATATTAGATTGGCCCCCTCCCTCTTAGTTTTCAGGAAAGAAGCGAAGACCTGGCTTTGGAATCGGGTATTTGGGGAGTGCAATATGGAATCAGCACAACGTAGGACACAAATGACGACTTTAGGACTAGGCATCATGTTTTAACAGTTTTATGTTTTTATTGACTTATTGCTATATGGTGTATTATAATGTTGATTGTTGAATGTGTGGCATTAAATATTGCATTTTGTAAGCCACTCTGAGTCCCCTGCAGGGTGAGGAAAAGTGGAATAGAAATATAGTAAATAAAAAAATAAATTACAGTGTTGATCTGTATTTTAGAATATTACATTAACAAACTGATGTACATTTCTCTCCCAAGTGAAAGGGAGCTTTGTGTGATACTGGTAATTGAGATTACCTAAATTTATTGCTGATATTGCAGTTGATTGCTATGAGGATATTCTTAGCTAACTGAATTTTATATCATCAATTTTAGCTATTGTATTTTAATGGTATTGTATTTTAATAAGCAACATTTGTCTGTCAATTGTTGTTTGTAATACTTTTTTAGTATTTTATATTATTGCACTGTATATATTTATTGGTATTCAAGTAGTCTATGCTCTAAGCATAAATCACTAGTACACAGATTACCTGTTCTCATCATTCTTTGAAGTGAACTGATTGTACAGAGTAGTCACTCTCCTTTCCACCCCATTGGAGGGTGAGCTGTTGGCATTATGTTCTTCACCCAATCCGCTGTCTGGCAGATGCAACAAAGACCTCTTCTGATAGGAATGTAGATTGGCAGACATTACTGCTGAAGAGCCAGAAGGATGCCTCCGATGCTTTAAAAAGTAAGATAACATTTCAAGAGGTCTAAGAGGGTGAACAAAGTTCCAAACATAGTAACTCTCCAAAGTGAGACTAGCTGTTTTAAATTAGAATTCCAGTCACCACTGCAATCTTTCAGCAAAAGTATAATGCACAAATCCATAGAGGTTTGCTGTCTGCAATGTTTTAATTAAAAAGGATTTAATGTACAACTAATGTACATTTTAACCTCTCTCTCTCTCGACTGCTCCAAAGAACATTTAATTTTGTGCTAAGTGGCTAAAGAGCAAAAGTAGATTCATCCCTGACAAGCCTGATCAGCTAGCACACTGCAGGACTGTCTCAGAGTCTGGAAAATGCTTTCCCATTTAATTATTTCTCTCTATGACATTACCATATTAGCGTATGTTCTTTTAGTGACATTGTGTGAATAGGTGAGCTCACAGAGATGCAGCAGTTGTCTTTTGGACAGTGTTAATGGAACCGGGGAAAATTAAGTAGGAAAAAGTTGGGGAAATTAGGTAAATGGGAGTAGATAGGAAGTGATATAAATCTCTAGGAGGTAAGGAAATAGAATTTAGATGATGGAAGGAAGCTGCTTTGATGAACAGAGAAAGGGCTACAAAGTCAGAGTTATGGAAGAATTTCAAGAAAAGTGGTTCTCAACTTGTGGGCCCCCAGATGTTTTGGCCTTCAACTCCCAGAAATCCTAACAGCTGGTAAACTGGCTGGGATTTCTGGGAGTTTAAGGTCCAGAGGATGGAGGAAGGACAGATTTAAATTCTAGGGATAGGATTCCAAATATGGCATGAACTTTGCTGTGATCAACATGACAGAAGGTGTACCAATGCCAGAGACAAGTGGTCTATCAGTTATTTGATTTTTATTTATTTGTTTACCTTATATCCCACCTTTCTCCTAGGATGGGATCCAAGATGTCTTACAGAAATTTAAAACAAGATGAAATTAAATCCTTATTTTACAAATGCCGAAAAATAATTAAATAACAATATTATTTTTAAAATGGTTGCAATAGTTACCAAACCATTTAAAACATAATCATAAATAAAAGATCTAAAAATAACTTTCCAAGTTTAGATCCAAGATGACATCTGTCATTTTAACTTTGATGGTACTACTTACATTAAATGTTAGCTGTCAAAAATACTGTAAATTTAGAAAATGAGGCAGGGAAAAACAATTGTTTTCATGAGTTTAGTTTAGCTTTCTGAGAAGTAAACTGAATATATACAGTTGGCACGCCATATGTATGCTTCCACAGAGAACACATCCATGGATTCAACCATCCACGGCTTGAAAATACTCCCTCCAAATCCAAAAATGAAACCTTGATTTTGCCAGTTTTAAGGGAAATTATTTTATTCTTCTTTGTATAATAGTACTTGAGTCTTCATGGATTTTAATATTCCTGGGGAAACTGGAGTAAAACCCAAGTAGATACCAAGGGTCCTGGCATATGTCGATTCTCTTGTTCACCAATGAAAGTGTGTTTAAGGCTGTAGTTCTATAATTAAATCTCACTGGAACCAATGAGGAAAGTTCTAATGGTAAACATGCACAGGACTGTACAGCAACCTGGTTAAACACACATCCTTTATCAAATGAATACACAGTTTAGTCAGTAACCAAAAGACATTAACTTTACAAAGGTGAACATTCATTTTCATCAAAATTCTTGTCATAACACAATGACTTTCATAGAAGAAACGGAATTACTTGTTCCACTACTTACATTGTCCTGCCTTGTATCTTCTTTAACATTTACTTTGACTCTCTCCCACAACTGCTGCCATCTTTCTGGGTTCTGATGTAACCTGTTTTCCAATCTTTCGATTTCCTGAAAATGACACAAATGTTTTCCCCTCTAAGATTAAGTACTTCTGTTTCTATTTTCAAATGTAAAAACTACAACCTCTTGACATCTATGACTGTGATATATCTAAAACGTCTTGAGTTCATTATATATTGCCAAAATTGATATTAACTCTGTTTCCTAAAAAGCATTACTAAAGCATTTCCCTATTACAGTGAAAACCGTCTGATTCCTATAATCCATCTAAAATGCAAACGTGTGCTATCCATCTTAAGAACAGACAAGTATCTCGAGCTCTGAAGATTACCTGGGAAGGAATCCCACTGGAGCACTGCAGCACACCAAAATACCTGGGAGTTACCCTGGACTGTGCTCTGACTTACAAGAAGCACTGCTTGACTATCAAGCAAAAAGTGGATGCTAGAAATAATATTGTATGAAAGTTGGCTGGCACAACTTTGGAATCACCAGATACAGTGAAGACATCTGCCCTTGCACTTTGCTGTTGAGAACTCATGCCCAGTATGGAATACATTTCACCACATTAAAACAGAGGATGTGGTCCTTGAGACATGCCACCTTATCACAGGAGAAATTATATTGTTTAGCCGGTATTGCACCACCTGATATCCGCTGGGAAGTGGCAGCCAGCAATGAAACAACCAAGTCATTGACATCTCTGGCCCATGTTCAGATATCAGCCAGCTTGCCAACAACTTAAATCAAGAAACAGCTTTCTAAGATATTTGAAGGAACACCTCAGCAAGCGACAGTCCAAAAAAGTGGCAGGTAAAAACCCTGAACCTCAATCAGTGGCTGATACTGGATGAGACACTTCCTCCTGGGCACACAGAAGGCTGGGTGACTTGGTAGGCGCTGAACAGACTGCACTCTGGTACCATGAGATGTAGATCCAATCTATAAAGTGGAGTCCATGACATGTGAGTGTGGAGTAGAGCAAACCACAGACCACTTACGACAATGCAGTCTGAGTCCTGCCATATGCACAATGCACAATGGAGGGCCTTCTTACAGCAACACCAGGGGCTCTTGAAGTGGCCAGCTTCTGGTCAAAGGAAATTTAACATAATGCCAGGTTTTTAACTTCGTTTGTGTTTTTATTAATACATTATAACTGTATTCTCAATTTGCTTCTGACATGATAAAGTTACTCTAACTTTAAAAGGGAAAATGAAACAGAAAGACTGTGCCAAACTAGTTATCTATAATGTCAAACTAGGTTTGACCTATTTGTTAGCCTCCTGTAGCGATGTTTCTTGTTAAAATATGATGAAAATAAACAAAAACACAAAGTTTTTGGGAAATAAAAGAAATACGATTATTGCATATTTATGAAACAGCATTCTGGGCAATATATTCTGTATCAGAGTGGGCAAAATATGGCCTGGGAATTACAGCTGGGTTTATTATTATTATTATTATTATTATTATTATTATTATTATTATTATTATTAAACTTTATTTGTACCCCGCTAGCATCTCCCGAAGGATTCGATGCGGCTTACACAGGCCGAGGCCTCAACATACAACACAACAATACAATCTAAGCAAATCAAACAATTAAAAACAGAATAAAGCAAAATAAACAACAGGCACAATAAAACACAATAAAACTGGGCCGGGCCAGAGCAATGGGTACAAGATTAAAAGTGCTGATGTGACAGGAGGTGTATATAGGGCTTCCAGGGCAAGTGCGATGTGCGATGTGCAGCAATCATTGGTTCTGATAAAGTGCTTATGGGACTTGGTAGTGGAGATTTCCTAATCTGGGAAGGCGCATCGGAAAAGCCAGGTCTTCAAGTTCTTTCTGAAGACAGCCAATGTAGGGGCCTGTCTAAGGTCTTTGGGGAGGGTGTTCCAGAGTCGGGGGGCCACCACGGAAAAGGCCCTGTCCCGCATCCCCGCCAAGCGCGCTTGCGACCCTGGTGGGATCAGGAGCAGGGCCTCTCCAGATGACCGAAGTGAACGTGTGGGTTCGTAGATAGAAATGCGGTCACGCAGGTAGGCTGGTCCCAAAGCGTTCAGGGCGTTGTAGGTAAGCACCTGCACCTTGAATTGGGCTCGGAAAATAAATGGCAGCCAGTGGAGCTCCTTAAACAGGAGGGTTGACCTCTCTCTGTAAGGGGCCCCAGTTAGCATCCTGGCTGCTGATCGTTGGACCAGTTGGAGCTTCCGAGCCGTCTTCAAGGGCAGCCCCACGTAGAGCGCATTGCAGTAGTCCAATCTGGAGGTGACCAAGGCATGGACCACTCCGGCCAGATCCGCCTTTGCGAGGTATGGTCGCAGTTGGCGCAGTTGTGCAAAAGCCCTCCCAGACACCGCCGACGCCTGAGCCTCAAGCGTAAGCGTTGAATCCAAGAGGACTCCCAAACTGCGGATCTGTGACTTCAGGGGGAGTGTAACCCCGTCCAGCACAGGTTGCCACCCTATACCCCGGTCAGGTTTACGATCGACCAGAAGGACCTCTGTCTTGTCGGGATTGATCTTCAGCTTGTTCCTCCTCATCCAGATAGACACAGCGGCCAGGCACTCGTCCAGCACCCGAGAGGCCTCCTTGGAATTAGGTGGAAAGGAGTAGTAGAGCTGTGTGTCATCTGCACAGAGGTGGCACCTAGCTCCAAAACTCCGGATGACCTCTCCCAGCGGTTTCATGTAGATGTTAAAGAGCATGGGAGACAGAACAGAGCCTTGCGGGACCCCACAGGTCAAAGGCCAGGGGTCCGAGCAGGCGTCTCCCAGCTTCACCATCTGGGATCGACCCTCCAGGAAGGATTGGAGCCACGACAAAACCGTGCCCCCGAGACCCATCCCAGAGAGTCGTCCCAGAAGGATACCATGATCGATGGTATCGAAAGCCGCTGAGATGTCCGAAGAGAACCAACAGAGTCACACTCCCCCTGTCCAGCTCTCTACGGAGGTCATCCACCAAGGCGACCAAGGCTGTCTCGGTGCCGTGACCAGGCCTGAAACCAGACTGTGACTGATCTAGGTAGTTGATGTCATCTAAAAAGCCCTGGAGCTGGGAGGCAACCACCCGCTCCAACACCTTACCCAAGAAAGGGAGGTTGGAGATCGGTCTGAAATTGTTCAGCACCGTGGAGTCAAGGGAAACCTTTTTAAGGAGTGGACGAACCACAGCTTGTTTCAGGAGAGATGGAAAAAACCCCTGCTCCAATGATGCATTGATGATCAACCCAAACCAATCAACCAAACCCTCCCTGGCCGATTTAATTAGCCAGGACGGGCAAGGGTCCAGAGCCGAAGTGGTTGCCCTCACAGCCCCAAGGACCTCCTCCACAGTCTCAGGAGGAACAAGCCTAAAAGAATCCCACAAAGTTGGACAAGCAGATGCCTCAATCACCTCCTCTGGCACTGCGGTGAAATTGGAGTCGAGCTCAAGGCGTATCTGAGCGACTTTGTCTGCAAAGTGGTGTGCGAAATCGCGACACCGAGTTTCCGGGTCGTCAAAAACCTCCTCCACCACAGGTGGCTGAAGGAGCTCCCCAACGACCCGGAACAACTCCGATGATCTATTTGCTGCAGACGCTATACGGGTAGTCGTATAGGACTCCTTGGCTACCCGTATAGCCACGGTATACGCCCTAAGAGAGGCTGTAGCCTGTGCTCGATCAGACACGTCCCGAGATCTCCTCCAAGTGCGCTCTAGCCCCCTCCTCGCATGCTTCATCACAGCCAGCTCCCCGGTGAACCAGGGAGACGGCTTGTCATGACGCAACGTGATGGGGCATTCGGGAGCGATCGTATCTATCGCCCTGGTCATTTCCCTATTGCAGAGATCGACCAAGACGTCGACAGGATCGCCAGGCTCCATGGCAGGAAAAACCCCAAGATTCCTCAGGAGTCCCTCCGGATCCATCAGTCTCCTGGGGCGGACCATCTTAATTTGTCCTCCACCCCTGCGGAGGTTAAGGGTCGCAGAAAGTCTAAAACTGATCAGATAGTGATCAGACCATGACACAGGAAGGATGTTTTGTTCTTCCACTCTGATCATTCCACTGTCCGCCACAAAAACTAGGTCGAGTGTGTGTCCAGCCTGATGGGTAGGGCCAGATATAATTTGTGATAGCCCCATGGTCGTCATGGCGGCCATGAAATCTTGAGCTGCACCAGTCAAGGAGGTCTCAGCATGAATGTTAAAGTCTCCCAGCACAACCAGGCACTGGGAGACCAAGGCCGAATTAGAGACCACCTCTGCTAGCTCAGACAGGGAATCTACTGGGTCGCGGGGTGGGCGGTACACCAGCAGAAACTCCATGCTATCACGGTTCCCCACCCTCAGGTGGACACACTCAAACCCAGATGCTTGCGGAACAGAGCATCTGACCACGGCGATGGATTGCCGATAGACAACTGCGACCCCTCCTCCCCGCCCCCCCAGCCTGGCCTGCTGATGCACTCCGAAGCCCGGTGGGCACAGCTGAGTGAGATTTACTCCCCCCAGCTCGTCCAACCAGGTCTCGGTAATGCAAGCCAGATCCGCCCCCCCATCCAGGATCAAGTCCTGAATGGCAGCAGTCTTACCATTGACGGATCTGGCATTAATCAGCAGGATCTTAAGGCCAAGGGGACTGCCATGAGGCCTACCATTTCCTACCTTCTCCAGGGTCGCAAGAACTCTGTTGCGCTTCTCCCTGGGATGTTGGTGACCGGCAGATTTCAAGGGGAAATTTTGTATTGCTCAGAGAGCCCCCACTCTTAGGAAGAAAATGTATAAATACTTGTTTCTTGCCTTCAGATGACGCCAAGATGACGCCAAGAGTAGTAGTCTTTGTGGAGGGGGGGGGGGGGATTAGTACAGGATAACCTGAAGCTCAAGCATCCCTTACTCACAACAATATTGGAATTGATTTTCTGACCACTTTTCACTTTAATTTTACTGTGTTTTGCTAATTTCTAGATCTGGTGTAGCTTGTAGTGAATAGAAATGTTCCCACTAGCTGCACAAGGAGGGGGAAATCACTATTATGATCCACTTACATTTTTGAGACATTTAGAGGGTTATAGTCATCCGCTGAATTCATGTTTCAGTCCATCAAAAGGTGATAACCCAAATTTTTGTTTTACCAAAGTAAACACGTATATACATCAAAAGTGATGACATAGTGAACTGTGGGGCTCATGCAGATACATTTTCACTAAATGCAATTCGTCTTCTGTCATCAGAAGTATCCTTTTTTTCACAGAGCTGAAACTTAGAATCCAAACCTGCATGTTCTGAAACTGGAGATGGAAACAGGTCCCCCATGACCCACATGCAGCCTGCAAGACTGTTTCATAGCTCGTAAGACAGTACTGAAAATCATCTTATTGAATTCTAGGAGAAAACTTCTCAAGAGAGCTTTTTTGCTTCTTTGCAGTGCTTGTTGCTGATTACAGGGGGCAAATATGGAAATTCCCATTTAAATCCAGACCACGCTTGTTTTACAAAGTGTTCTTTCCCCTGATTGCTGCTGAGATTCAGTGGTACTCAGGGGCAGCCCTGGTTTGTCTGGTGCTAGAGGGGGAATCGGCTCCTAGGCCTGATGAAGTAATTCCCCCTGTTATAAGGGGAAGTGTCAGACATTTTAGGAGTTCTGACACTGTTGTGAACAGCAAGTTGGAGCCAGTAACTATTATGCTTTTAAACCACATTTTATTTATGGCAAATTACAGTTCTCTCTCTTAATTGCAGAAGAAGAGAAAAAGAATATGAAGCCAAGAACATAGTGTGTTGTTACTAGCTTGTTTAGAATCCATTTTCTGCAGCAAGTTGGCATAACTAAACATTATTGTAAGCTTATGATTCTTAGGTACAGAAGCATCTACAAAATTCTAACAGTTACTATATTTCTCCTTGTTTTAAAGCACCATTAAATGAAGAAAATAGCTTCTTGTACTCCAGCGGAAAATATGCCTATGCATATTGACAGTGCAACCAAAGATTACCTGTCCCTTTCCTAAATTCATTCCAAATAAACCAAATTAGAAATGTCATAGTTAATCAGACCATAGTGCAACTAACAGCTCCTGTAAAGCATGCACTGAATTTCAAAAACTCTAGAAAAATAGTAACACTTCAAATGTAATGTGTACATCAATCTTAGGAAAAGATGTGGAAGCTTAATTTTTAAAAGTAGTAGTCTTCAATTCGGAATGAAAGACCACTTCTATTCTAGTTGGGGATTTTTTTTCTTAAAGAACAAAAGCCTTAAACTTTGTCACACCTGACAGCAAGAAAAACCTTATGCAAAGTGTATGTATAGGTGGGGGAATAAATACATATGGAATGTGTGATGACTAGTGATAGCTAAACTCTAAGAGGCAATCATTTGGAGATGTGTAAAATAACAGGACAGTCAAACACCCCTCATGTCTTAAGATCTAAAGACGTGGATGTTCTGCCGTTTTTTTGACGAGACAATCCCTAGAGAACTGGCCCCAGCTAGGACCCAAAATCCCTGCCCTTGCATCTTACTACTGTGTTGTATCCAAAGCTATAATTAACTGCGGTCTCTGAGGATGTAACTCAAGCATCTGCTTGTCCAGTTTTGTTGGATTCGTTTCAATCTGTTCAACTCGACAAGGTCATCAGGGTTCTGGGAGAGGCGAGACCTACCACATGCATCCTAGACCCCTGCCCTTCCTGGCTGGTAAAAGAAGCCAGAGGGGGTTTGGCAGAGTGGGTAAAGGTGGTGGTTAATGCCTCCCTTCGGGAAGGCAAGATTCCAGCCAGCCTAAAACAAGCTGCAATTAAACCGCTGTTGAAAAAACCATCACTAGACCCCACTCAATTCGTCAACTTTCGGCCAGTTTCCAATCTCCCCTACTTGGGCAAAGTCTTGGAACGTGTGGTGGCCTCGCAACTCCGGGAATTCCTGGTGGACACGGACTATCTAGATCCGGCACAGTCGGGCTTTAGGCCGGGACATGGTACTGAGACAGCCTTGGTCGCCTTAGTTGATGATCTGCGCCGGGAACTGGACAGGGGGAGTGTGTCCCTGTTGGTTCTACTGGACCTCTCTTCGGCCTTCGATACCGTCGACCACGGTATCCTTCTGGGACGCCTCGCGGGAATGGGTCTTGGGGGTACTGCCTTGCAGTGGCTCCGGTCCTTTCTCGAGGGTCGCTCCCAGAAGGTGTCACTAGGGACTCCTGCTCGACTCCTCGGCCATTGTACTGTGGAGTCCCGCAGGGCTCAATACTGTCCCCTATGTTGTTTAACATATACATGAAGCCGCTGGGAGAGATCATCCGGAGTTTTGGGGTGCGATGTCATCTGTACGCAGATGATGTCCAACTCTATCACTCTTTTCCACCTACCACTAAGGAGGCTGTTCAGGTCATGAACCGGTGCTTGGCCGCTGTCTCGGACTGGATGAGGGACAACAGATTGAAACTAAATCCAGACAAGACAGAGGTACTCCTGGTCAGTCGTAAGACCGAACAGGGTACGGGGTTACAGCCTGTGCTGGACGGGGTCACACTCCCCCTAAAAGCTCAGGTACGCATCTGGGAGTTCTCCTGGATTCATCACTGAGCCTGGAACCCCAGGTCTCAGCGGTGGTCAGGGGAGCTTTCGCACAATTAAAACTTGTGCGCCAGCTGCGTCCGTACCTTGGGAGGGCTGACTTGGCCACGGTAGTACATGCTTTGGTTACATCCCGCTTAGATTACTGCAACGCTCTCTACGTGGGGTTGCCTTTGAAGACTGCCCGGAAGCTGCAGCAAGTCCAACGCGCGGCAGCCAGATTACTAACGGGGGCTGGGTACAGGGAGCACACCACTCCGCTGTTATGCCAGCTCCACTGGCTGCCAATTAGCTTCCGAGCACAATTCAAAGTGCTGGTGTTGACCTATAAAGCCCTAAACGACTCCGGCCCTGTTTACCTCTCTGAACGTATTCTCCCCTACGAACCATCAAGATTACTAAGATCATCTGGAGAGGCCCTGCTCTCGGTCCCACCAGCCTCACAAGCGCGGCTGGTGGGGACGAGGGACAGGGCCTTCTCGGTGGTGGCCCCACGACTCTGGAACTCTCTCCCTCTGGAGGCCAGAACCGCCCCATCCATCCTAACATTTAGGAAACGGTGAAGACGTGGCTGTGGAGTCAGGCCTTCGAGGAATGAGACAACACCATAGGACTCTGGATGGAAGTGGATATAGATCCATCTTATTAGGACGACTGACCATTGTTGTTTTATATTTAGTGTTTTTAAAGTTGTTTTGTAATTTGTGATATATGATATTTTAATGAATGTATATGTTTTTATGGCTGTAAACCGGGCTGAGTCCCTCGACGAAGTTGAGAAGCTCGGTATACAAAACTGTGAAATAAATAAATAAATAATGACCCATTTTATATTGCTCTTGTCCTTGCTGCCGTTATATGACCTATGTACTTTACTCACTAGCCCTATCCTCTGAAATGTTGTGGCACCAGTTCGTCCACCCGTGACAAGACATTGAACTCTGCTATTGGTTGTTGGTTAGATCAACAGCCAATGTTTTATATTTTGTTATAATGTTGTTGCTCTTATTTTGTTTTGTTTTATACTATTGTTTTGCATTTTAATGTGTTATGTTTTAACTGTATTGTTAGGCCTGGCCCCATGTAAGCTGCCCTGAGTCCCTTTGGGGAGATGGAGACAGGGTATAAAAATAGTTATTATTATTATTATTATTATTATTATTATAAGGATTTTTATATTGCTGTCTTCTTAAATCTTCAACTCCATCCCCACCTAAGCCTTAATAAATGATAGCTTCATTTTTTTCTCTGCTAAAACATTTTTAAAAAGTAGACAAATGTTGAATAGCTATGTAAATTATGTATACTTACATTTAATAGGCTGGTGATGGCATCAGGCTGCACTTTGTTAATGTCATCATAGCACGGCCAAACAATTTTCCTCTTACTGTGGGAAGATGACTCATCCCTCTGGTCAGGTTCATCCAAGGTGCTACATTTAGAAATTATCATGGCCCAGTCATAGGGAGGGCCTGTGGCCAAGGTCTCTTCTGTGTAGTAATCCCATTTTTTAAGACTGGATATGTTTACATTTGGTTTTAATACCTGTGAAAAGGATGCCTGCAAATTACAAAAGTCATGCTGTTTTCTGAATTGTTATGGCAAGTTGCCTAAATTGCAAGCCAGTTCAAACATTTAATTCCGTTACATTCCGAAAAGTAATCAGTCTGACTTTTTAACTTTTCTATATATTTTTAAGTAAGGTCTGTGTGCATTTCAGTTATGGTTTGGGAAATATTTTCTTATTTTTCTTTCCTTTGCACTATAATTGTCCAGCAGACACATGCAGTTTTGCATGAAATAAGAACACTAGTGGCCCTACTCAGAATGGCTTTTGAAATAATGGAACAGACACAGAATGGTAGAAATATGTGAGGTTACCACATTAAAGTCAATGTGGCATTTATATACTCAGAAATCCCACCAAAACATATCCTATAAAAATTAAGGACAGTTTTATGGATATTTTTGTTTTTGGGCACACAAAAGATTCTTTGATGTGGTTTGGTCACTGGCTTTACTCCATTGTGGTCTCAGCTCTCTGCACGTTGCCAAGCATGCCTCTTTCTACTGGGAGAGCACAGCTATGTTTTTCCAGTGGTTAGACTAGGATGAACTCCCAGCAGTTCTAATTAAGCCAATGTCCTGATTGTATCAAGTGTTTTGTTACCTTTTCAGATATTCCAATTATATTAGTATGTTTAAACAAATGAGAGAGAGAAACAATTTTCCTAGCCAAAAACAAAGAAAGAAAGGTATACTGCAGAACTAAAAGGGAAGGGGGGGGGGCAGTAATAAGCATGCTGCATAAGCAAACTCTTTTTTTGCCAAACTTTTTTTTTTTTTTGCCGAAGGGTATACATGAGCATTAGTTTAAACATTAACACTGCCTTTGGAACTCATCACACTTTGTAGCATAAGGATTTTCTTGGACTGGGACATGGGATTCCCCAGCTCAGTCACTATTCAGACATATAATTTTCAGGGTATATTGGGCCAATCATACTCTTTCAATCTTACTTTTACTTCACAGGGTTATTGTGGGGATGAAAAATAGAAAAAGAGTGCCATGTATTTCACATGAAGCTCAGGGGAAAAATAACAGAATAAACATATAACTAACAAAGAAGAAAACTTGCTGGACGTATTGAACCATGGAGATGGTTTTAAGATAGATAAATTGTATGATTTTATAATCTCGTTTTAAATGCTTAAGTTATACACTTTATATTGTTATGGCATTGAATGGCTGCCGGTTGTAAGCTGCCTTGAGTCACCTCCGAGTTTGAGAAAGGTGGGAATAGAAGTAGTGTAAATAATAAATAAATAAATAATAAACATTTGCCTCATTACTCGAGAGTCTAAAACAAATAAAAAATAATTCTATTAATGGCAAACTATATTCAGATACCAGAGTTACAAAAATGCTAAATTTAATCGTAATACCTCTGTTTCAACTGGTGTGTAGAGGTAATTGAAGAAAACGGGACTCCTTTTGTGTATTTTATCAATGCATTCCCACATACAAATTCCTTTTTTACCATGCTTCTCTCCTTTATCTTCAAACAGTGTTCCTAAAGAAAAAGGAAAGAAAAAGTTGAATAAAATAGTATTTGCAATATGAAACCCATTTGAGGACACTATGGGTGTAAGAGCTAGAAAACTACACTTGGTTCAGAAGACAGAAAATATGGTGAATTGAAGCCTCATGTGCTAGCATAAAAAACAACTTATATTGTATGAGTTGTATATATTTTCTGTCCCAATGAGAATTCCAATATACTGCAGAATACGAAATTGCCCTGGCTCAAATGCATTTTGCTCAAAGACTCTGAGCCGAAAAGACAGATGATTGAATGAAAGTAAAACCATTTTAATGTGTGATATTTCTTAATCCCAGAGAATTCCAATATTTCCACCATGGAAGAAATGTCAACTTCCTTTTGATGAAAGCAACCAGAACACTTCATTTCTACGTTATCATATTATGACTCACTACAAAACTGCATGGAATATTCTTTATCTGCACAAATTTAAAAAGAAAATATTCACTCTGAATTCAGTGCTGGCAATCTTCCAGTAAGTATCCTGAGTTTTTTGCACTTAACCTGTTGGGATATTCTGAAGTTTGCAGCAATCTGGACAAATGGATCATGTTCGTTTTGGCCCAATCCAAGGTTCAAAAAAAAAAAAATAAGAAAGAAAAAAAGAACCCTAATAGCAAGCATAATTTCTGGGATAGTTTTTTTTTCTCTAAAAAAAAAAAAAAACCTGCCACGGCAAGTGACCACAATTTGAGGATAATGGTTGAAATCCTGCACTGAGAGACAAGGTGTATAGTTCTCTCCAGCAGAACTACACTTCACCTCCCCTTTCTCCTCCCTTAAAGCCAACCTTTTTCATGCTTGTCCTCCCTCCTCTGCCAACAGCCATTTACTGGTTGTTAGAAAGGTGGAGGGATCAGCAGCAGGGAAGTGTCCATGTGCCTTTAGCTCTGTGACATCCTCGGGGACTTCAAGACGACTTCTGGGAGAGGTTAGAGCAGAGGTCCTCAAACTTTTAAACAGAGGGCAAGTTTGTGGTCCCTCAGACTGTTTGGGGGGTGGATGGACTATAGTTTGAAAAAAATCATGAATGGATTTCTATGCACACTGCACATAGTTTATTTGTTGTGCCAAAAAACATTAAAGGACAATACAATATTTAAAATGAAGAGCAATTTTAACATAAACTTACCAGTATTTCAGTGAGAAGTGTGGGACCTGCTTTTGGCTGATGAGATAGTCAAGTTAATTAGGATTGTTGCTGCTATGTGCCTTTAAGTTATTTCAGATGTAAGGCGACTCTAAAGCAAAAGTTTAGGGTGAGGGGCGGGTAAATGACCTTGGTGGCCCATATGGACCTCTGGCCTAGAGGATGCAACTTCACTGCTCTCTGTCCTCCACTGGCTAATAAATGGTTGAATTGGGGGAAGCAAGCATGAAAAAAAGAGCTTTCAAGGGGGATTGGTCCTATGGTACTTGATAAGAGTACTCCTACTGCTTATAACTGGAATGAACTTTTCAGCTATTCTGCCTTTTTATCCATTACAAAGAAAAAATAAGTAAAATGTTGTGCAAAAACATAGGCGACATTGTTTGAAAACAGTCTGGACCTCCTGTAATTTCCATGAATTAACCAGTTAAGTTGCACAATAATAGCTTTGTCTGGGAGCACCTACTCACTAGGAATAGAAACTACTTGTTAGGAACCATTAAGTGATATCGGGAATAGCTAAAGTGCATCAAGATGGAAGTAATTTCAGTATTTCAAAGAGTAACTGGCATAATTTTTACCACTGCAATACCAAGTTACAGTGCAGCATTTCCACACAAGAAAGTTATGCAATGCTTTAAAATAAAAATAAATTAGAAATGAAATCAACATCAATGGGGAGCCTACCATGTTCTAGTCTTTCGTAGTCTGAGTCCAGCAGGAATGTTTTGAATCGATTGGAAACATAGTGAAATGCTAAGAACTTCAAGTAATACTGATTGAATTCAAACTCTGTTGGATACTGGTTGTGAACCTGAAACACCGAGAATAGAAATGTTTGCTAGAATACTTTTATGAGAAATATAAAATACTTAAATGTATTATTGTGTCTTTCCTCATTCAATTAGACACTCCTGCAAGATATCACTTCTACACTGCACAAAAGTTGTTTTACTATAGCCATTGTTAGAGTAAAACAAGAGTTATCTCCAATGTAGTATTACAGTGTTGCTATAGTAGATGAATCAAATCTGCCCACAGAATTGCTATATTGATCAAAATAGGATAATATCAATATTAGACCAATCAGACATGACCACAGAATTGCATATATATTTGAAGTTCAAATTTGGGAGTTAACTATAATTCCACTTTAAAAATTGACTGCCATTTTTTTAAGACCAGTGTTTTATCGTTATTTATTGTATTACTGTGAACTTGTTAGGCCCTTGTGTGTTCATCACTAGCCAAGTAACAACAACAATAACTTTTTTTTTATACCCTGTTTCCATCTCTTGAAGAGAGTCAGGATGGCTTACAAAGCGATAAGCCCAAGAATTACAGGTTAAAACAAGCACAATAAAATACAAACAACAACAATAAATCAATAAAAAACATCAGAATTAGGCAACATCATAAAAACAATATCATGGCTGAACAAAAATTGATGTTGGGTACAAATTAAGTACTAATAATCACAAGAATACCTGTTATATTTTAAAAGATTTCTTCACTGCCCAACCACATGTTATTTACAATTCTCACCAAGCTGAATGTAAATGTTTCCATTTAATTTTCTATTTTGTTAAAATATTATTGTAGTATAGTTTATGATACTAAAACACTGACAATTTATAAAGAATTGAATTGATTACATAACTGAGTAGAAGAGGAAAATAGCTTTCCCCTAAACTTTTATGGGAATAGATGTACAAAGATCTCCCACAAAACATACCATTTTCCTTCTGCTACAAGGAAACAGAAGAATACAGCAAGGAGGCTACATCTTGTTTTCATTAATCTCCATCACAACTGTTATCGTTTCTGCTAATTAGGTAAAATCATTAGTGGTTAAATAACATCTGATTCTGTTTATTCAAGATGTACATCCATGTGTTGAGAATGAGATGATTGAAAACAGATCCTAAGCCCAACTGAGAATTAAGGAATATGAAAAAGGGGTAATGGTTCAGACCTTCCATTTTCTGAATGTTTTCCAGCCCTGAAATATTCTTGCTAAATGCATTTACAAGAAAACTATACAATATTCCAGATGTGATCATATGACAAATTTGTATTGTGGAAAGTTGATAATGACACTTTAATTCTCAACTCATTTTCTAATTATGTCCAACATAAATTTTACATTTTGAACTGCAGCTGCTCCCTGAGCCATGATTTTTATTGAGCTAGCTGTCACAACTGCAATTGCAATTGTGGTCACTTGCTGCCAGCTTAGACCCCATCAGTGTATTAGTGAAGGGTTTTTTTTTTGTCCCAACATGTACCTGTTTTCCTTTTAAAATAGTTCTTTATCCATGAAAGAACCTCTCATTGTATCATCTCACTACTAAGTTTACTCCTAGGTCTTTAGTGTGGAAGACTTCTTCTTTACTTGGAAGACTTTTAAATACGTCCCATACACCACTGCTCTATTTAACATTAAAAAACCCAAATTTAAAAACCAAAAGTGGGTAGAGACTTCTGCTTTTGCTTTTTGGCATTTTGGTCAGCCAGTGTGGCTTATGGAGTTGCCCACCTTTGCCCTAAACAGAGGTATGCTTCTAGAGAAAATAATGGATGTTTCACAGCCTGACATCATTGTTACCACTCTGCCTTCCTAGAAACAACTGGAAGATCCACCAGATGTTGCTATTGGGAAAGAATGATGCATATTAATAAGTCAGCTGACACCTGGAGATATTGGCATAAACAATGGCTTTTTGGATAATGATGCCGTTCTAATTTAAGAAATACTGCTTCATATGTTCTCTCCAGTTGAAACAAGGATGAGTGTTTTCCTTAGCATCCACTGGTCCCACCCAACCTGATAGATGAGACATATCATTACATTTTTACTTGTTTGTTCCTGATTGTTTGAATATAGTACTCTTGCGAATTTGTACCGCAAATCCAAAATTAGTGAGGAAGAGATTTTCATAATCAGAATATTACATGCCAGGCATACAGATAAATATAGAACATTAGTTCATGGAAACAGTGTTCTATGTAGGTCAGATTGCAATGCAGCTCTAGTTCAGTCCTGCAAGCTGATCAAAGGGTTTAATAATTCTGGGAAACAGTAACTTTATGTTCACAGGCAGCTCAGCTCTAATTATCCTCATTGTCAAAGTGACCAGTGGAATCTACATGTCCTCCGAGTTGGGGGGAGGTATAGCAGAAACATTTTTCTTTGTGCTGACACAGACATATAGCTAAATATCCATTATCTCTACATGCGTACAAAGTTTTTCCATGCACAATTTCACAAATAATAGCAGGTTTTCTAGAACAGGCAGTCTGTGCATGCCACTACTCCAACCCTATTATTCTAAGATATTTGGCATATGGAAGCAGCCTGAGTGAAAGGCAGGAGTGTTTGGGTACAGAAATAATAAGCAAGAGAGGGACAGAATGCTCTTGTGCCTCACTTTCTCCAAAATGCTTCTAAAGTGAGAGCCTAGAGGTAAGAATATGTATTCTGCATTGTTTCTACTGGACAATTTTGGAGTCGCTTTCTCTGTTATCTGAGATGTACTGAAGAAATGCCAATATTACTTTTTTTGCCTAGAACTAAAACGCCATCTTTTGCAGAAAAGGTTTTTGTTACCATCCTTTGTGTTGTACTAGTTTCATGTATTTTTGGGATCATAAAAATATTTTCTTTCTGTTTATGCTTTTGCATCCATATACATTACAGTAATATAATAGGCTATACATACCTGATGAACGCAATCCAAAAACTGCAAGAAGATTGGAGCAAACCCACTCCCCTGACAATTGAGTGTCAAATTGCTGCGCTGGCTGAACTTATGGCCAAAGGATAGCCATTCTTTTTCAACCAACATTCGGAAGCCTTCGAGTGTTCGATAGAATGGATCACTGAGTAACTGCACAAGGGACACCACCTAGACAATACAATTACATTTGTATTTTAACAGCCAATACAATGCATTTAGGATAAAGTAGTTCACCAGCATATTTTCTTAGGCATTGAACAGGAGAATACAGCTGAATAGGATAGCCTTCCCCTACACATTTACTCTAATTTACATAGCCTTCCCCTATACATTTACTCTAATTTTCATTCCTGATTGCAAAGTTTGTATCAAACCCAGCATGGCATAGTTTGGCATTTATGTCTTTCAGAGGCGGGAAATACTGAACTGTAGTGATCTGTATGTGCAGTGACCTTGTTTTAAGTGGAATATGCTTCGTTCTCCCATGACATGGCCAGTCACAATAGTAAATAATTGAGAGAGGTGAGGATGACTGAAATAATGTAATATATTGTCCGGTTTTGAACTGTTTTTATTATAGCTTCTTTTGAGTTTTACTTAATGCTTTTTTCTGCTGTGTTTAAATTTTTTTATGTAACCATTTCATTGCAAGTTGAAAACTTTTAACTGAAAGATAAAATATAAAATAAATAAGATGTTTGTAGTTTTGGAATAAGTATTAAAATACAGTCTGTTTGGTAACCTTAATTTTTTGTGATTTTACTTTCTAGAATCAACATTCTTGGAAGATTGTTTTAATGCTAGGATTTTAAATTGGCTTAACATAATAATAAGGCAAGAATACCTTTCACATATGAATATAGTACCTGGTTAAATGTATTCTAAAGAGGAAGGAGGAACATCAGCCTGCAAAAAGTTTTATTTATCTCAGACACATGCATTTCTATAGTTGGCTATGATTTTCTTATGCAGCTTTAACCAAGATGCCTTCAGTTGCTCAGGCAGCTCACCTTATGAGTTGTAAAACCAATATTTACATTTTATATACTTATAAACATTTTTCTCCCTCTGTAACCCCCGCCCTATCTGCTGTGCAATATTGGATCAATCTTACTTCCTTAACTATTTTATATTACAAGCCACAGTAGCTGACCTGTGCTGTGATGTCCCAGCCATCTTCTAGACAAACAAGAACAGAAGAACCATTCTCAAGCAGCTCAGACATAACCACACTCAACTGCATTATACGATGAAGCTATAAAAAATTACAAAAAAACAACATTGTTAAAATGAAAAAAAAAGCTATCAGGTTAACAAATATTAGAATTACTCATTCTAGTAAAAAATAAATATTAAAATGTTATATATATAATTATTTAAACAGAGTATATTTCTCTAAAAGCTTAAATACTTCAAAGGCACCAGGTCCCATCTTTAATTAAGTGTATCTCTTTAGTTATTTTTAAGAAATTAGAAATTGAAGAATGGTTTTTAAATGCTTTTGGAAAAGGGTAATTATAATCATTACTTTTACTTTGTAACTACTTTTTAAAATATATCATTTGAGGCTCTTCAAATGTCTTTTCCTGAGAGGCTCTCTTGAAGGCTATATTATACTCTTTTGGGCTCCAGGGAATACCTTAACATCCTCCCAGGCATTTTAAGAATGTGTTTAGTTCTATAAGCTGTTTCTTTTTTCTTTGATCTTGGATTTATTACGGTTCTGCTGTGTTCTGTACTGTTACCCCAATGGCAATTAAACCCTGTGTTATTTTATAGTACTTGTTAACTATTCAGAGATCTCTGGCTATTGGAAAGTTCAAAATGACTACAAATAAATACTAAACTAGAAAAAAATCAATGGAACTTGCATCAAGGAAATGAATTAGCATGCAATGTGTTGCTTAGAGTTTTGCCAATAGTAGGAACAAGTTCTAATAATAATATATACAGCCACATTATATTTTCTGTTACATAATTATATGTGCAATGAATATAAACTGTTTTATTTATTATAGGTAACAAAAATATGTAAATGGTCGTTAAAATAGAATATGAATCATTATAGCCAAGTGCTACGTTTTTATGGCTGATTACAGTTATGAAGGGGCTATGAAGTGCCCCAATTTTAAAATCTACTGTCTGTTGCTAAAAGAAAGAGATTTGCTTGTATAATAATATAGAAGGTTCATTTAAAACAATTATGCAACAAATGGAAAATGTCTGCAAGACGAAAATAGCACTTGAATCACTAATCGTAGATATTTATGACTGCCATATCCCTTTACCTGTGGGAACCACTCTGACTCTCCCAGCGCTTTGAGGAATGTTATTTCAGGATCGGAAGGAATACTGCTAGGAACACAGGCACTCATCAGCTTTTTAAAGCTAGCTTTCACTTGCCGGAGGTCACTGAATTCAACTGGAACAAATTCACAGTTTAAAGCAAAATCAAGTTTGAAGCCCTGCAGATGATAAAGGAAATTATTTTGGTATTTATCCAAAATAAGCAAAGAAATAAAACAAGTGTACTTTTTTGCATATGGCTCTATTACTGAGAAACTCCAACATCTGTTCTCCACTTTTGAATATGTTTTATCTTCTTCTTAGCCTTGAAATTAATAAAGATAGCCAGGTGTAATTTTCAGGCATTAGACATACTCTCTGACAACACAGTACAAGAATCTCATCCATAATTTTTATTTTTATTTCCCCATAGCTAGACTAGTTTTTCTGATACTAGAAGAGTTATAGCTGCCAAAAAAGAAACCTGTATCTTCTCTGTAATGCTGTGGATTGTTATACGAAAAACATCACAGTTTGTGACAAATGCTCAAGCACAGTACAATGTGAAAGCCATCCTTTTTATATTAGACTATGATGAGGTGGTTTACATGTCTAGAGTCTTTGAAGTAAGTAATTCTGGGTAGGAGAAGGTTATAGCACCAAATGATTTGTGACATTCATGCAAATATATACAATCCTACAAAGGCAAACATTTATATAGGGGAATCTGGTGACTGGCAATTAAGCATCACCTCTTCTACTCCCAACTTTCTCCGGTTATTGGGAATCGGCTGCAAAAGAACTGAAACCCTCATTAAGGAAATGCAGTTGCAAACTAATAAGTAATAGCAACATTTTAAAAGTTAGTGGTATTTTAGGAGCGATTCCCTCAGTGTTTTCTCTGAAAAATCCTGCAAATCTCTTGGGAAGATAAGCAGCCAAATGTCAATGTTTTGGAAGAAGCAAAAACTTCCGACAGAGATCTGGGAAGCCCTGGCCCTTGAACATTCTAAATGGAGGTCAGCTGTTGCCAACAGTGCTGTGCAATTCCAAGAGGCACGAATGGAGGCTGAAAGGGAGAAACATGTCAAGAGGAAGGCGCATCAAACCAACTCTCAGCAGGACCGCCTTCCATTTGGAAGCTGATGTCCTCACTGCAAAAGAACATGCAGGCCAAGAATAGGTTTCTAACATAATCTATGAACCCACTGCCAAGACCCTACACTTGGAAGGCAATCATGCTCAGATACAAGTGATCACTGATGAGGTAGCTTGCTTAATTGAGTTTTTTTAATATTTTATCTCTGTCTTTAGCCTTACTGTAAGTTGCCCTGAGTTCACATCAGGAGAGGGTGGGATAAACTGTATAACTTAGCAGGATTTCTCTCTTTCTGTGTGCCATGTCTGGTATTAATACAACATATACTCTTAAGTCAATCCACAACAGACATTAATGGAAAAATATGTAGATAAACAGCTCATATAATCATAGAGTTGGAAGAGACCACATGTACCATCTAGTCCAACCTCCTGCCATGCAGGAAAAGCACAATCAAAGCATCCCCAACAGATAGCCATCCAGCCTGTTTAAGAGCTTCCAAGGAAGGAGCTTCCACCACACTCTGAGGCAGAAAATTCTACTGCTGAAACAGCTCTTACATTAGGAAGTTCTTCTGAATGTTTAGGTGGAATCTCCTTTCTTGTAATTTGAAACCATTGCTCTGAGTCCTAATCTCCAGGGCAGCAGAAAACAAGCCTGCTCCCTCTTCCTTATGACATCCTTTCACATATTTATATATGGCTATTATGTCTCCTCTCAACCTTCTCTTCTGCAAGCTAAACATACCCAGCTCTTCAAGACGTTCTTCATAGGGCATGGTCTCCAGACCTTTGATCATTTTAGTCACCCTCCTCTGAACACCTTCCAACTTGTCAAAATATCTTTTAAATTGTGATACCCAGAATTGGACACAGTATTCCAGGCGAGATCTGACCAAAGCAGACTAGAGAAGCACCATGACTTCCCTTAATCTAGATGTCAGACTCCTTTGGATACAGCCCAAAAGCTTCTTAACCCACACCAAAGGGCGTTTTTGGTGCTGCAGAACTATTGTTGGCTGGAGTTATACTTAAAAATGTACCTGTTCCAACATCCATATACATTAACCTTAAGAACAAGCCTACAGAATCTACCTCGACCATAACCCGGGGACTGCCTGTAGTAAGATTATTTTATTTGACTATTGTGTTCACTATTGCTATGAATAGCCACAGTGTTTACTGCATGTACATTAGCTGTAATTGGCTTGTTTATTACCATTTAATTCCATTTTTATGATTATGTTTCCTCTCACCATTGTGTGTGTAAGTATACCTAATAACTTGTTACATTTTTTCTGATAAAATGGACAATAATCTAAAAAAGCTAATATAGTAATATGTTCATATTTGAAATACTATAGAAACTTTGGTTATATTTGGATGCACACCCATAATTCTCAATTCAATAAGTAGTACACATGAATCTCCTCCTTCAGTGGATTGGCGTAAGAATTTTCAACAGTCAGCGTATTCAGTGTGTCAATATTTTCTGCAGTTTAGCACACGGTTAGGAAACCTATAAGGCTTAAAACATGCATAATTGCTGTATTATATCCCAGTTAATTACAATTCTTAATGTTAAAAAACAACCAAGCAAATCAGAACAGAAAATAGACATACCCTCAATTGTGATTTTTCTCCAAAGACATAGAGAGAAGCTTGCCGCTTTGTAAGTCGGTTTTGAAAATATGTATTACTGCTGGAATATGAAGGTGAACCATCTTTTCCTGCTAATCTTGCACCAACATCAAGGAATGGCATCTGTGTGCTGATAAACCGACTGCTAGACCGAAGACTTGCCCATACACCTTTGTAGAGATTTAAAATGTAATTGACCATTTCATATCTTATGGATTTTGTATATCTTCAATAAAACATGCATATGCAATAGTTTCCCAGTTGGAAACATTTACACAGTGCCATATTTAATCCACTAGAGAGGGAAGAAGCAACATGCTCAAAATAATTCATGATCAAGATTCATCAAGGGGTCCACTTCTTGTTTAATGCTTTATACAACAGCCCGCACATCCAGCCTGCTGAGTTAGGTCTATATAGCTTTAGTGATCTCTCACTACAGACTGGCACTGAAGGCCTAAATGTGCGGTGTTACTCCATAATGGGGCTACGAATGCAAGACATGGCATATATTTTATTTCTACCATTGCCAAATCACTCAAAACACTTAGATAAGACTAAATTTCAGTTGTAAATTAGTTGGCTTATACATTGGATTGTGTGGTTATTTGATATACTTATAAAGAGGCAGTACTGCCATCAACATGACTGTGTTATCCCAACAGTCTGCTTGAAAGTGTACGGGTTTGCACTGCACCTAGAATATGGGACTTGACTGTGATGGCAGCCAATTTACAGGCCAGAAGCTGTATGCCTCTTTTCTTCCACTCTCATGACCTGAGCAAGCTGTCATGTGAAAACCAAAAGGCTTCTGTTCTTTAGCCCCAGTTGCCCTTAGATAACTTCAAACAAGGTAACAAAATAAGTCTGCACTGCTTTCAATAGAAGACACTGGTTACGACATGCTCATCATCAAATATAACCAGTAATTTAAGTGTTCCTGGCCAAATAATGTTACTCTGGAAATACTGTATCCACACCATCATAGTCAAATTTAAAAAGATATTTACTCCAAAATTCATGACAGGAACATGTGTTTTTGTGTTTCATAAGCAATCTGCTGGTTTTAGAAGAAAGTGTGTCAAACAACGAAAACTGTTTTCTTAGCTAATTGAAGTAGACAAGCTACAGTTTAAAATCAAATCTGTTTGAATAGAAGGTAATTGCATGCAACACATCAGCCAAGATCATATTTCTAATATTATTAGTAATAATGTTTAAAAATGCAGATCAAGGCCTTTAACCCTAATAGATAAAATGTTAGATTAGACTTACCGTGAAAGTGCATTCTGGGATGGCCAGAGGAGTGATCCACCATGAATTGGTGCTTCCCCATTCCAATCTGTTTTGGCAGGAATGTGTTCTTTTCACTTGGATCAGTTAGTCCTTGCCCATGTCTCTGACTGTTTAGTTCATAGGCCTGCCTATCTCTGCAATTGTGTTGCTTACAGCACCCTGCCATCTCTAAATCATACATGAACCAACAAATCCCGCCCCGCCCTGAATAACGAATGAATCAATTAGTGTGCAACACTTAGTACTCACAAACTATAATGTTCATTAACTATCATTTGCAACTTATCCCATGAGTGGGTGTGGATCACTCCTCCAGCCATTTCAGAATGTACCTTGATGGGAAGTCTACTCTAACATTCTCAGGATGGCACAAAGGAGTGATCTGCCACAAATGAGATATCCTCAAGGCCATAATACTTACTAGTGGGTCTATTGCTATTTACTTACTGGTTTATATTTTCTCATATACACCACTGACTGCAGCATTGTTTTCCTGAAAGCTGCACTTGCTGACTTAAAGGGATCTATCATATAGCATTTCACAAATCTTGCTAGCCAGCTGCCTCACAAATGTCTTTTACGGAGGATATTACTATGAATGCCACTGTGGTTGCCATAGTGCATCTTTGTTGAAAAGAAGGCATAGTCTGCTTCTTTTCTTCCCCACTTTTTCCAAAGTCGTCCCCCCCCTCCCATATCTTTAAAATAAATGAAAGGCACATTATTTTTAGATTTAGAATCTGCTTCCTCATCTTTTGACCACAGTGCTTGTCTTACTACTGTTACCAAGTTGATAGTCCTTGCCATTACGTCATGACCCACATCAGCTATGTATTTCAGTACTTTTGTTACTCTTTCTATAATTTTATTAAGCCATGTATGCATACCTTATTTGCATCCTTTATTTCAGATACCCACATTGCCGCTTGAACAAATGGGGATGCCAAAATCGATGTTTTCAAAGCTATAACTGATATGTCATGAGCTTTTTTCATTGTCATATCTGCTGTCCTTTTGTCAGTCACTTTTAAAGTGATATCACCTCCCATGTATACCTACGGAGACAACAGCTACTATGAGCCATCAACCTAAGGAATCATTAACATTGTCATTTCTGATCCCTGAAATGTGTATAGCTTTTGTCAGTAATCCAGAAGTCTCTTAGTGCTGCATATTGAAGGACTAAGACCATTCACTTTCTATTAATTCTCAAAACATTTCTGGCACCGGCATTTATACTATTAGTCTTTGCTTTCAGATTACTGACAATATCTTTTCTAACTTTTCCCCCCTCTTTTATTTAACAGCCCTAAAACATAGAAATTTATCATATGCTTTTATTGGAAACATAAATAGTAGCCTTTATGTTACATTTTCATTTGCGGTACATTGTTCTCAGATGTGCATTCCTCTAGCATCTCTTCTCTCCATTCCTTTTCCTCATTATCAGTGTACTACTGCGCTCACACTTAATGCTGCTGGCATCCCCAGCTTTGACATCCCTTGCTCTGGCTCTGCCCTGTTCATGGAGCTATGCTCCATCAGAGCTCTGCCTCTATTGGACTCTCTAATTTCAAGATGATGACTGTTTTGCTCCGGCATCCTTAGTTCTTTCCACTCTAACTTGGTTGGACCTTATGGCAGTTACTTTTTTCTGCTAAATTTTTTGCTTTCCCTTGCATATTTCCTTGGCTTCTTAAAAACAGAAACAAGCTTGCATTTAATATTGTTGTTGGCTTTTTATCTTTACAGATTTTATTTCTGTACTCACTGTATTGTAGTTATCACTTTTATTACTTGTTTTTGACTGTACTTCCTCCATTTCACTTTTGCTTGAGGTAATAAAAATCTTTCATAATCCCTCTTTTTTATCTGCCTCCATAACCCACTTACCAGTGGTTTTCTGGATTTTTAAAAAAATCTAACTCAGTGACACTCTATTTAGCAGTCCTCTGGGCTTCCACGTTTTTATTATTTTCCTTTCCCTTAATTAGCTAATTAGCTACTTATTCCAATGTTTATATTCTTACTTTATACTTCACTTTCTCTCAATTCTTTCATTTAAATTCCCCAATTCCTACAAATATTACCAGTGAAGGTTATATTATGTCCGGTTGGTAAGCAGAAAATGTAAAACTGTTGGAAAAGAGGGGAAGGACTAACAGACCCAACTGAAATGAACATGGTCCTGCCAGAACAGTTTGGCACATGGAAGAAATCATTCACGGTGGCTCAGTTCTGTGCACCATCCTGAAAATAAATGTTATTCTTGAGAAAGATTAGATACCAGAGGAAGTCCAGAAGAAAGCACTTGGCCCCACTTTATACCATTAAGAAAACAGATCTTGATTAAAACTTGCATCACATGGAAAGCAACAGTACTGTGAATTTAAAAAGCACATGCAGACTGCAATCTAGAACAATTACCAGTGATGGGTTACAGGGATTAAAGAGTATATAAATATCTAGTTTTCTCTTCCCACCCCTTGCCTAAGTAAAGATTTTAAAACAAGGAAGAAAATGGAAATGCCATGTTCTCTTTGCTAATTTGTGGGCCACTAACTGTTTCACCAGAACTATAGTGAATTTCTCCGTCATTTAAAACATTATTGTTTGGCTACTGAGCAATAAGGTTTGGATGAGCTAATTCTCATTACATGTTTTTTTTTCTGCAATGATAGTAAAATATGGTTATAGCCTAGAAACTATTCTACTTTACTATGTAGCAACACAGCATCTAATTGTGTGGCTAAGCAAGCTAACATGGATTATTTAATATGCATAATCATGGAGGTGGCAGATCATACTATTAGTCCGAAGAATACAGTACCTTGGTAGACTCTTCCTGATTTGGAATTTGAATGTGTGAGACATTTATCTCTGTACCCAAGCACTGGCAGATAGCAGTAAGGACAAGAGGAAAAGGAGGAATGGAATGCGCATGGCAATGAGACAGAAGCAATTTTGAATAGGAAAGAAGAAAAAAGTTACTTCACATTACTATTGATTTGATTTTTTTTTAAAAAAACTTTATAATAAATATGAATGTTAACAGCTAGCATCAAGGAATCACAAGACTTTGTAAATTAAATTAAAAGGAACAAATGCAAAAAGCTGTATTAAATTATTTAACAAACAGCCTAATGCTCATGGCTACTGCAATAACTGAAAACATGCAAAACAGCCAAAACAATGTGCCATGGTATTATACCAAATGGAAACTTATCTACCGTGAAAACATTTTTTAAATGTATAAGATCTTTCAATTAAAAATGATCAGCACAACTTATATCTATTGTCTATTTTGATGGGCAAAAGTACATCAATAAAGCACAATGGAAATTTGTATCATCTTATCTAAATAGACCCACAAATCTAATTAACCAAGTAAGACAAGTGTTGGACTATATGCATGGATGATGTGTTTTTGGGTGCTCCCGTCGAGCAGTTGTGTATTACTGTGCACTGGAGGAGAGGACATACCCTCACGTAGTTACTGAATCCATTTGGTATAATGGAAATGTAGTTTGAAATAGAAAATCACAGTAACAATGATTCCTACTGTTTTCTTTTAAGAAAGGCATTTTAGCTTTGAGACAGGTATCAAGGGACCATTATTACTGTAGAAACTATCTATTCCACTAACATTATCACTGGCTGGAATATAAGCTGGATGCCAAATATTATTTCATATACCTGATTTAGTACCATATCATAGTTAAGACAAAGAAAAAAGGAAACGGAAAGCAAAAGCCCACTTCAAAGTGTATGTCAAAACTCCTGCAAATTAAATTACCTAAATACATTGCCAATAGATAACACTTGACTATGGATTCTGGCAGGTAAACAGTGAATCCATTTGGGGATTAGGATTCTAGCTTTCATAAAAAATAAACATGCTCTACCCCTTGTCACAATGGATTGAAAAAGTAAAATACAGGGCATGCTAAGGAGACCGGAGCTAGAAAGAAGTTCTAGCAGGATGGGCAATTCATGAATGTCTATGGGCCATTTTCCCTGAAGCTTTACACTTCTCCTAAATCTTTGGTGCTCCCTCCAAATAAAGTCTCAAAAATGGCAAATTGTGTCCAGAAGGCTCTGAGGAACACATTAGGATGCCTTGATATATTTCCAGTCCTTGGGCTCTTTTTGGCCCCCAAAAGTTTTTTTTAAAGAATCAAAGAGTGACTGGACAAAAGAAACATTTCCGATTTTATCTCTGCTTGTTTCACTCTAGCCATTATCACACCTGATCTGACTACTAGATTATGTGCCAGAAATGCCTGGGAATATAAGAATTACTTCCACAAAGAGGAGAGAAGGCAGCTGTCAGACCAGACTTATTCTGTTGCCTGTCCTGTCCATAGAGCAGTCTGGGCACTTTGCACATGGTATCTGGATAGCCTCTTGGTGATTCATCCTAAACATTACATTTTATCAATACAGGAGGAAAAGCATCCGAGTTCAGATTGAGGCTGCTGATTGACTTCTCCATAAATACCAAGACAAACCCACACCCCCTATTACATACTATCTCATCAAGCAGTAATAAATATTTCAAGTGGTCAGTACGAATAAACCCATGCAGCTCTACAAATAACTCACCACACCTCAATTAATCATTACACAGTTGTTATACATAAAGCCATACAATTAGTCCTACTGCAGTCAACAAATGAACCTCTTCTAAATTCAAGAACTTTGATTTAATTGGAGTGACAAGCAAGTCAGTAGACTTGCTACCACCTTCTTAATTCAGTAATTTTACCAACTGGAAAAAGCTGCAACTTTTCATTCTGTCATGACTATGTCATTATTTCTATTTCTAAATTTAGTTAGATGACTTTCAAGATTTCCACAAATTTTTTTCTTAGGTTACCAGAACATTATTTTCCAGGGTGAACTTGGTGAATTTGAAGTAAGTGCTAGGATACAAACGGCCCTCTCATAGTACCTAAATACACAGGAATTAAAAAGTAAGACAAAATACTATTTCAGCTTCTGTGAGCATCATTATATGCACAGGAACACTTTTCACTTAAGTACCCTGGGGTTAAAGAACAATCTACCAATTGGATGGCACTGCGGTGTACTAGATGCAGTTCACAGAGGCATTCCAAACAGTGGTTTAATGAAGGTTTAGAAAAGTTAATTAATAATTTTAGACCCATACAGTTATCCGCCTTTCAGTACCAAAGGCTTCTCCACATATAACCTTTGTAATACAATAAAATCCCACAAATACTTCTATGATTTTAGCTTCCAGTAGTCTATAGAAGAATGAACTGCTACAGCTGTCTGAAATCCTTTGCTCTTAGTGGCTACAGCTATTCCATGAAGACAAAAAAACCACTGACTCTAATTATACGCAGCAACAGTCTGCGTGCATACTTCCATGATCTGACCAATATGGTAGACAGTTGCTGTTGCTAATTAGCACTGATCATGTATCAGTTTTGTCTGTGTGTGAAAGTGAGTGCGGGTTCTGTAAATTTCCACCCACAACACTTTACTGGTCACACCTACCATCTATTGAACTCTACATGGTTACGGTCTAGTGACCCAAACTGTGTGCATGGTCCTCAATGCTGATTGCAGAAATTTAGACATAAGAGTCACCTGCATTCTCACAACAATGTGCAATTTCTCCTTCAACAAGGCTATGACTGTGTCCATGTGTAGATTAGGTAAACTTTTTATAAGATGGTGATAGAATAATTCATATTTCTATGGTATACAGTGGTAAATTGAAGTATAACGTGAGAATGACCACTCAAACGCTATCTTCCCTCCCCACCATGTTATATCTATGTGTAGTCTTTGAACTATTCTTACTAACCTCCTCGGGCAAAGCTATTGGATAGATTTACATCCAAATGTCCTGGCACTACCTGCTTAAACACAGTGGACATTCTTGAAGCCCTCCTTTCAGTGCCTAAAGTCAGTCAAAAAGAATTGAGAGATTAAAAGTACAGTATCATTCAAGTTGACATTTGCTAGAAGTTACCCTGATGTGAACCCAAGAATACATATATATTTTTAATCCAAGCAATTTTTAATGCTTCATGGATCTAATTGCTGCCACTTTTGCACATTTAAGCAACATCAGACATAATTAGAAATAACATTTACACATTTGCAGCATCACAGCAGGTTAGGCATGGCTAACATAATCAAAGTATTTAACAACACATGAAGCAAGGCATGCACAATTTGGTGATGGTGTTATGTCATGAGAAAAGCCAGAATTTAGATACACTTGATTTCATCAACTGATTAAGCCAAATGGACAAACTTGGCAAGTTGCATGCTCCTGTGTCTAAGACAGCAGCTTTACCTTTGTATGAACCCTATCAGGTTTCATCACATGACAACTGAAATAGAACATTAACGTATTTCTTAATTACTTCATCCAGACCTATCCTCCAAGTAGTATATTACATTTTTATCTTTTTGATTCAAATATATAGGTTTGAAAGAGCATATTAATCAATTCACATATGTATTTAATAATTGCATCTCAGCACTATTATGTTTTTTAGAAAATTACATGGATTTCCCGCTTTTGTTTGCAATTCTGCTTAAGCTCAATTATTTCATACTTTTCAATTTTGCTAAACCTATGCTAACACATTCACTTGCAAACAGTATCAAAGGCAACATAGCTGCCTGTAGACTGAACTACTCAGGAATGACACGCTAATAGAATATCATAATGAAACTGGAAAAAATCATCTACAGTCAGATGTAGTCTTCATCTTAGAATAACTGTGCAAATGCATGACATTACCTGGAGACAATGCAATTGTTGGCCTGATGGTTAGAGTATTATTGCCATTCATTTTGCAATGGACAGAAATTGCATTCAGTAAGGCTTGAAGATATTTTTCTTGTTCTATGCTGCTTGATGACTCTAGTGATGTAGGAGCTGTGTAAACAAATGCAGTATTAATTATTTAAATGCTTTATTTTTTCGACCTTTATTCCAATACAGGAACTCAAGGCGGCTAACAACTCATGTGTCATAATATTAATTAAAAATGCAAATATGAATTAAAATGAAAAAAATTATAAAATTTTATACCCATTAATTTAAAAAACACTTAAAATCTTTGTGCCATTAAACATAATATATTGAAATACATTAAAGAAATTACACAGCCCCCCAACATCCCACTCAACTATTCCCAGCAGCCTATTCGTTATCATTCCATAAATGCCTGATAGTTGAGGTATGTTTTCACTGGCCTGCGAAAGGTAAGAAGGGATGGGACCATCCTGGATTCTCTGGGGAGTTCCAGAGCCTGGGAGCAGCCACTGAAAAGGCCCTCTTCTCCCTTCTTCCCATTAAACAAGGATGGTGGGACAGAGAGAAGGTCCTCTGAAGAGGATCACAGTTTTCTAATAGGCTCATAAAGAAAGGTGAAGTCCTTCAGTCAACATGGACCCAAGCCATCTAGGTTTTATCAGTCAAAACTAACACTCTGAATTGTGCCTGAAAATGAGTTAGCAGCCAATGCCAACTTGCTGCAACAGTGTAGTTATGCACTCCCTATGGTCAGTCCCAGTTAAAAAACAGGCTGCTGATCTTTGAACCAGCTGAAGTTACTGAGCACTTTTCAAAGGCAGCTCCATATAGAAGAGAAAGAGATAGCCTCCATTTGTACAAAGTTATACTTATGCAGTCAGTGACCCTTGGAATGTTTGGAAAACTCAATCTGTTTTTTGTATTGGTAGGTTGCTAATAAGTATGTAAGTCAGGCCAAAGTAATACTTCTGGCCTTAATTTTTATTTGTGTAGATGACTCAAACTTTATATTTAAATAAGGAGTAATGTAAGTTAATGTTTTCAAATACAGGAAGTAGGTATCTGAACATGTCTACAAAACACTGTACAGTGATGCTTTCCAGATGATCTGCCAACCCATCTAGAAAATATTCATTTCGTACTATGTCATTCACAGGATGCATTTAAGTCATGAAAATCTATCCTCATCATGAACTCTTGAATGATTCACTGCTTATGTAACTTGTGCATAACTGTGAATTATTTTATCCACTGCCCTTTTCAAAAAATTCGATAGGGCAAGTTGTTCAGGCAGGCCAACACACACTGATTATTTTGCCAGAGAAGCATAGAAGAAACCTGTTCCCCCTCCTTCCCAAGTAAGATGAAATTTGTGGTTTATCTCCTCTTTGGCTCTCTGCCTTGCAAATGTTGAAAAAGAAACATTGCATTCCAAGAAAAGGCCACATAAGGATACTAGTGAATAAGAAATATGTTAAGCAGAGTTAGGTGGATGATGTTTTATCTTCATGTACTGTACAATACTGTAATTATGTGGCACAACTGCATTCTATGAAGATACAGATGACTACCATGCACCTTAGATAAGTCCACTGCCTCTCTTGTTTGATCTCTGCTACATAGTCCAATTGCTTATAAAGAAAAAGGTATTGAAGCTGCTGTGCACTGCAGGCAAACCTGCCATATTAAGGCAGGCCAATGAACTTTGATGATAGTTTTTGCATGACACTTCTGATGAAAGTATATGTGAAAAAAAGGAAAGAGCAATAGTTCAGCCCCCTTTATTCCTTTGATGCTCCTTTCTATTCTTCTTTCTGCTCTTTAAAATGTATGTAGATGTGGATTTTTTATAATGTATATGTGTTTAATTATGCTGTAACCCACCTTGAGCCACAAGGAAGAGCAGGTAAGAAATAAAATAATTATTATTTGAAACACAAAAAGATTAGTACACAGCAGACAAGGTCGATCTGCTGGCTATTGTATTGGATCACACTTCGGTAATGTATCGGCGAATAATGCATGCAAATCCCAGTAGGGTGGCCTTTTGCAGCTGACAAATAGTAATTTTGTCAGTGCCGATTGTGTTTAAGTGCAGGCCAAGGTCTTTAGGCACTGCACCCAGTGTATCGATCACCACTGGGACCACCTTTACTGGCCTGTGCCAGAGTCTTTGCAGTTCTATCTTTAAATCCTCGTATCGTGTCTGCTTTTCCAGTTCTTTCTCTTCAATCCTGCTGTCGCCTGGGATTGCAACAGCGATGATCCAAATTATTATTATATTTTAATTTTATTAATAATAATATTATTATATGTTCAAATATATATAACACTTTTCAGAACTGAATTTACTGGATATTGGATATTAAGTTCTATGACATTTCATCAGTTTTATCGGGATATATTAGTTTTGGAAGAAAAGAGCTAGAAAGCCCATGAAAAATGATTAGTAAATTTCTTATAAAGCAGTTACATGCTCCAAAGTATCCTTCACAAGAAACACACTCTCACCTGAGGTTTGTGTATTTTGAGATTTGAAAAGACCAACCACTCCTTTACCATGGAAACCTCCAGCTCGAAGTAGAAGTGTGGTACTTTTTGAGTTCTTCCAACACACCACTGGCAAGCGATTGTGTCTGTAGCAGCGAGCGACTCTCTGCAAGTTACTGTCTTGCACACACTGAGGTACTACTAGGAGCCCTGGGTAGCTAGGACAATGAAAAATGGAAAGATTACTTGTGTGCTGAGACAAGCAAATTCCAATAGGGAAAAGAGAAAAGCAGATAATATCCCATATTTATTCCAAATTTAACACCAATTAAGACACTGTATTACCATAAAACATTTTGAAAATCTGAGAACCAGCAAATATCTCCAAATGTATTTGCATTCACATGTTTATAGTAATTGTTACCACCAGTCCAAACTGTAATTTACATTGGCTAAGGTAGTAGCCAGGAAAGGATGCTCTTCATGATGGACCAATACCTGGCTTCTCTGAGAGCCATCAGTAGACGAGGGTCACTTCCCTAAAATCAGGAAGAATCTGTTATATTCCCTGGTGGTCTCCCACTTAAATGCTAACCAGCTGTTGTTGACAAAAATAATCTTTCTTTGCAGGAGGGATGTAAATCTTTGACTATTTTGTCCTTGTGTTCACACAATTAACTATGGAAGCTTACTCCCTGCTAAAGGGAAGAAATGAACATTCTTCCACAATCTTTTCTCTATACCAGAACATCACAAAGTGTTGTGAAGGAGTTATTCTGTGGACAAAAACCTGTGTTTTTTGCACATGAAATAAAGTTTTCTGCAGATATTTTTTTTGCAAAACTTCCACATAATTTTATCTGCAATATAATTCATCTGCAACATTTGGGATCATTCTATATAAGGGAAAATTGTACCTTTGCTTATCATTTCCTGATTATTGGGAAATGTGTTTTTCCCCCAGGAAGGAATAATTATGAATATTCTTTCCTACCAAACTTGGTATGGTGCACACCCAACATGGCAATAAAACCAAGAAAAGCCTACTGTCTCAATTATACCAATCACAAACTTTGACCCAATATTTAATATTAAGATTACGTTTTTATTAAATTAGATCAGTGGTGTACTCAGACAATTTTATGTGCCTTTATGGAAGGGAACCTATCTGTGCATTATGTCAGCATAAGTGAAAATTACATACATCCTGACAAGAGGAAGAAACAGTCATGGGTACTACAGACCCAAAAGAAGTAACGCATTGGAGAAATAGGGTTCTTGGAGCCAGCACATTCTGTCTTCCTTCCTTGCTCCTTGTTGTGAACCCTGGAAATAGTGCAGCCACTAGTGCAAGTGCATGGAGAGATTTCTAATTTTCCCATTCCTCCTAGATAGGAAAGTGTGGTTCAACTGCATTTTTGAGCTTTTCTGCTAGTTCTGCTGAGTGATTGCCCAAAGCCCCCACCCCCCATCACAGTGTCTTGTATTACAGTAGATGTTATATTCAGGATCCTACGAAAAGCAGCAGGCTGATTGCAACAGCCAGACAGGCAAAAACAACATGTACATGTTGTACTGACTCTAGAACGACTGTTTACAGACTTACTTTTTATAAGCCTGAATGTTTAGACGCTCTGAATTAACATACTAAATACCACCAGTACTTGGCTCTGAAGAAGTAACCAATTCTGGATTACATCAAAATCCATTTAATGACTCTCAAGTTATAGTATGCAAACTTGTAGTTATATAATGCTTCTCCCCCCCCCCCCCCGCCCAAAGCAAGTTAGCAAAGATGTGATCTGCTTTATCTCCTAAGCTAAATACAGTATTCAAAGAAATCTAAATGAGAGAGACTAATATTTACAGAAAACCTAAAAAGATATCGTTCAAATATTTTTGAAAAAAAAAATGCTTTTTGGCAACTGAAAATATCATACTGTGTATGACATCTAGGCCAAAACATAAAACCAGGACTTTGCTGAAGCTTCTGAAGAATACATTTTCCAAACTGACTGAGTAAAAAGAAAATCTTTTTCAGCAAGGTACTTACAGCCAATGGTATGGCTGTGCTGGAGCTTACCCTTTCTTTGTCCCACTGTAGAATTACTTTGCTTAAGACACAACTAACACAAAACAATATTGTAAAATGCATGAAATCGTATTTGATCTGAGTGATGCCATGGGCAGGATTCTGGAAAGAGATAGCATGCTAAAGAAAGTGGTCCTGGTAAAAAAAAAGATTGGGAACCACTGATCTAAATACATGAACATTTGTTATTGACAAATCTGTGTGGGAACAGGTACATTTCTGTGGGAAATAGTGCATGAGAAGAATGGAAAATGGCTAAAGTAACACAGGAATTGCCATACTAATTATCATTACAACTGCTTTGGGACACTTCCATCTAATGAATGGGACAAAACCATTTTAAATAAATGTTTGAACTGTGGCAGCCAATTTAAGCAGGGCAATGGAATAACAAGGGATGATAAAGGAAACTGCCTCTCAGGCTTTTAAAAGCAGTATTTCCTACTCAATTAGGAATGAGCCCTGAAGTGGATGAACATTAATTGGTTCTAATAGTTAGAATTCTGTTGGCTTACCTTCTGCAAAGAGAATACATCCTGTTCAAGGCAGTTATTCGAAAGTACTCTGTTTTGGAGCGGGCAGAGCTATTATTGATGGTCCCTAAGCCCAAACGCTGATAGTCTCTGAAACAAGCTCTTTCCACTAGCTGCTCCATTGTTGATTTCTCTGATGCTTTCAAAGTACCACTTGTGTGCATTTCACTGTCATCTGAAACTGAAGGAGGACCATTTTACAAGCTTGAAACATTTTAAAACTGAGGTACATACACAGCATGAAAGGGGCTGTATGCTAATCATATTCAGATAGCATCAAGAAAAATATCCTGTTCTTCTTACCTGAAATATCATCATCCTCATTCCACCCAGGGCGATTTGCCCTTTCTTCTACAATTGTCCCTGGTGTTTTCTTCTTCAGTAAGTATTGTCGGCCAATTGTCATTTTCCCTGCACGTTTTGCTCCTTTAACAATTGTTTTTGAAAGGGTGCTAAAATGAAGAAAACAACATCATATGTAGTCTTACTGTGCTTGGTTGAGAAAAAAAATGGCTATAATGTCCTCCCCCCCCCCCCCAATCCAGGACCAGAACTGCTTCTTACTGAAAATCTATTAAAATAAACAGGATGTTGACTACACAATTTATTTATTTATTTATTTACTTCATTTGTATACCGCTTTTCTCAGCCCTTAGGCGACTCAAAGCGGTTAACAACAGCAAAAATTCAATGCTAAACATCATAAAAACAGTTAAGGGACAGGTTAAAACAGTAACATAATAAGCAATTAAGCATCAATATAACAAATCATTAGCGTGTCATCAGTAGAATCAAGACCCAATCTCATCATCATAAACAAAGAGATGTTTCCATGCATCATCATAAAAGTCTAGTAAATTAATCTTTAATTTTAATCAAATCAGGTATAGTTCAACAACCTCTTGTTAAACTGTGTTATAAACACATGTTAAATGTCCCTTAAATTTACCTCCAAAACAAAAACATCTATAATTTTGCAAATCTTTCAAATTAAAGAATGCCAATAATTAATATGAAATATAAAGAAAAGGAATAACTTTACCGAAAGGAAGTGTTCTTTTCCTTTTGCTTTGGTAAGATTATCTGAGGTGCGGTTTGACCAGCTGCAAAAGCAAAAGTGCTAAAGATGGACTGGGGATAGCGAAACTTCATTAGCTGTTTCTTAAATATCTCTACAACTTCAGGGCTCACTTCTTCATCAAAAGCTACCTTAATCAGCTATGTATAAAAAGAGGCAATGCATTAATAGAAAAATCAATCAAGAAAATGAAATATAAGAAATGTTACAAAATTTGATTATGGCAAATATCAAATGCAAATATATAAATATCCAATATCTTTATAATAAACGATTGAGCTTCACTAAAAACTGTTTTCAAAATGGCTTGCTCACAGACTGGAGAAGCACAAAAGAAAATATTGCAAATCATTGGAGTTAAAGTTTTGGAAATTAAAACTAAATTTCCAACACAATGTAAAAAAAACTATATGGGGTGACATAAGTAAAGAATGATTTGAGTTTGCTTTCTGAGGGGCAAGTGGAAAGGACTGCAAATGTGGTGAATTATCAGTTAGTTCCTCAGGAATGGCTTTCCCTGTGAAATTACCAATTGGTTTCTCCTGATTATGATACAATACCCCAAAAAAGTTTATATGCTTTTTAGAGGTGCAAAAGCAACAATTTTTGATAAGAAAAGGCATTTATCACAGAAAAATTATAATCCATCCTTCTTTTGGCAAAATATCTATCTGCTTCCTTAGCCCTTCTAAAATGACCCTCCTGAATGACCCATTGCCCTCCTAAAATTACCTAAATATTGATATTATTCTAATTATTCTAATATCAAAATTTAAACATATTAAAATAATATACTTACAGCCAATTCATTGTATACCCACAATTAAGGCAAAAAATAGGGATGTGATATTTTTTATATAGACACATTTATAACAAAAATAAGAGAACATATTTTGCCTAAAACTTGACATTATAACATAGTTAAAATGTGTGAGTCAAAAAAGCAGAGACAATTTTTTAAAATCAGAATTCAGCTCAAGAAGAATGATTCTGTGAAGATAAATGTCATACTCAAAGGATATTTTAGAAGGGGAGAAAAAAGTATTTTCAATCTACCCATGTTATTTTGCTTGGAAAGTATTTTAGATTAATCTGACACAACTGTGTTGAACAATCACAGAAAATGTAGAGCGAGAAGTGACTGTCTTGAAGAATATGGTTTTGTCTGTCTACTAGTCTACGTTGTTTCTATGTTCTGTCCTATTCAAATAGCATAGGAAGATAGGCAGAATATGTCCCATCAGAATGCTGAGATAAGGGTGACAATGCAGATTACACCTAGGAGAGATCCCTTAAAAGTACAGTACTCTTCGCTATGGGAGAAGCATATGGGACTAATACTTTACTCCAGAGATGGTCAATGTGCAATCTGTGGGCTCTTTCTGGCCTCTAATGCAACTGAAATATGTCTGGCCTCCTTGGGCAGAAATTATATGTTTGGCCTGATGACTACCTTCTGGAAGTTGACGAAAGAGGCATCATGTCTGAATGCTGTTTTCTCTGCAGCCCTATGTGCAGAGATTGTGCCTGTGCAAAAAACTCACATGTTGCCACTGGTTTGAAAGGTTGAACAAACATGAAGATCCAGATCCAGCAACAATAAAAGAATCCATGTCGGCACTAATGGAGGATTAGGGGAAATAAGTTGCTATGTTATTAAGAAAAACGTTAACTAAAGATGAATGAACTGTGAAAAAGAAATAGGAGCAGAAGAATTTGCAACAATTCCTGCTAGATAAACTTTGATAAGGGAATCAACTTAGATATCTATCAGAAATTGCAATACTTGCTCCACGGACACTAATGAAGGTAAAAAAATTGTTAAGAAAGTGAAGAAATTATTTCCATCTATAGCTGTAATACTTCCTTGTGGAGGGTGACTTTGCAGCTTTTAAAATGTTTGCAACATTGTCAAGAACCGATAAATTAATCTGTCAGACAAAAGATCTTTGGATTTGGATGTTTGATTTGACCTGCATTTGAGACGATGATAGTAACAGAACCTGGTAAGATGTATGAAGAGAACAAGCCATTGCTGTTGAGGCCACCATGGTGTTACAAGAATACAATATTCTCAACTGTCTCTCAGCTTTACAATCACTTTAATGGAAAGAAATATTGTAGAATATCTCCACCCCTACTAGTACAGAAAAGTGTATCTCAATGTGGTCATTTTCTTGAAAAGAAGCTTCTGCATTTAGAATGTTTTTACTCTCAAAGTAATCAGCCTTTGGAATGCTCCACCAGGAGAGTAAGTTCTGAAGTACTGAACCAGTTCCCATTTGTGAGATGTTGTATGCATATGACTCAAGACATTGCCTTCTTGAATTTTTTTACTGCAAGACAGATGGTAGTTCTACATATATTCTGTTGCATGCAATATGCCCAGAACTGCATTGTCAAATAGAGCAACACTGTTGAGCCCATGCCATCATGTTTCAGTGCTACATGTCTCTTGAGAAGATGCTAAAATGTTTGCAATGTCTTGATTACAGCTAACAATTTGCATTTGCTGATGTTGCAATGCTGTTGAGAGTCTGGGTGATGGCTGAATGCTGCTTAAACCTAGGATAAAGAGATCTCACGTATAAGTATGCAAGTGAAATGATGTGCATTGTGGATGCCATCACCTCTAGGAATACACCAGCCTTGGTCCTTCCTTTAACAGAGGAAGAAATGTTCTTGCTAATCAAAATCCAGTATAGCCCCTATGAATTCTGTACACTGTGTTTGTATAAGCTGTGATTTCTTTTCATTGAGAACAGTAGAACTCAACACTTCATGGTGTTGATGAGGTTGAGCTACTAGCAACCAATCATCCAGTCATAGCAGGCAACAATGTTTCAACTTCTTAAATGAGTGACTACTCTAGCCAAGCATTTGAGGATGTGTGGAAAGGCCACGGGGTAGCACTTTATACTGGTAGCAAGGATGAAGATTCAGAGGAAGTGATGCTCCAGAAAAGTAAGCTAATGGAAGTTAGAGGAGTGTGAGTGGATGAATGAGTTTATAAAGATATCAGATTTGTAGGTGATTTTTACTTCAGACCATGTATTGTCCCTCTAAAGTGTCTGTTACTGTTCTTATGAGTTGGGGTTCTGAAACATAGTGGAAGGCATTACACTAGGGAATCTATGTTGTGATCATTATAGAGCCTCCTTGAATTCACAAGGAACTGTCTCCTATAAAACATCTCCATAAACAACTGATTTCCATTGCACTAGAGGGGGCGGTCCCCATGGATATACAAGAGGTGAGGCTAGAGATAGGAAAGACTCCCATAATGCCAATCATAGAAGATAACCTCAAAATCAAATAAGAAGTTGACATGTCCTTTGTACCCTGATACCTACATTGTAGAGTCTGAGAAAAGAACTATCTCTGAAATATCTAGACCCAGTTCTATTTTGTGGAGGCTCTAATCTTTGAAAATAATGTTGAGCCTCTTTGAATTTTTTTTAAATGATTTTTTATTGTGCATTTTACATAGGTGTACACATAGACAAAGGTGTGGGAGGGGTGTGGAAGATCGGTTAAGGGGAAAGGGGTTGAGACAGGGATAGGGAGGGAGGGGGGGAGTAACATATGAATTGATTTCCATCAAGACAACGTATAAACATGATAATTAGAAACAAATATTGACACTACAAATGAGTCCCATCACCCACCCCTTTAAGTCCTAAAGTGAGTTGTACTTCCCAAAGTCTTCTGAGGATTGAAAATTTTCCAAAGTCTTTTGCATTAGTTTGCCAGAGTCCTCTCGAGTTCACTTCGATGTGTAATTTCAAAAGCGGGATAGATCTATTATGAATGGTATCTTCCTCGAACTAATAAAGTCTCTGAAGCCTGACCAATCAGTTTCGACTCGGGTGTTATTTAATTTTTGTGATAAGCTGTCCATTTGTATTAAATCAAAGATTTTTATTATCCAGTCATCTGCTTTCGGTATCTCTTCCTGTTTCCACAGTTTTGCAATTTGTAGTCTGGCTGCAGTGCTGAGCAGAAATAGCATTTTTTCTTGATTTTTAGTTAGTTTTTCTTCTGATATTCCTAGTAAATAGGTTTCTGGTTTTAGGGGGAATTTGGTTTTTAATATTTTTTGGCACATACTGTGGATTTCCTTCCAGTATTTTCTAATGCGTTTACAGGTCCACCAAGTGTGTATAAAGGTTCCTTTTTCTTTTTTACACTTCTAACAGGAGTTGGATATCCCTCTGTTGAATTTCGACAATTTTACAGGGGTGTAATACCAACGGTATAGCATCTTATACCAGTTTTCCTTTATGTCGTTTGCCACTGTGTATTTTAGTTTTTTGTTCCAGACTGTTTCCCACTGTTCCGAAGATATGCTGTGTCCTATATCTTTTGCCCATTGTATTTGGCAATTTTTGACTTGCTCTTCTTCCGTAGACCACTTTAACAGTTTTTTGTATATAATTTTAATTAGTTTTTTTCTCTTTTTGTAATATTAATTCCCAGAAACCTTCCTCTTGGCAGAAACCTAATTTGTTGTCTTCTTTAAAGTTTTGTTGATATTGCATATATTGTAACCAGGTTGTATTTTTGTCTAAAAGTTTCATTTCTTCAAATGATTTCAAAGTAAGTTCTCCATTCGGTGATTTTTTAAGAATTTGTTTATAGTTTAACCAGTTTCTTTCTCCCATGTCTCTTTTGTGTCTGGCTTCCATTGGCGATAGCCACATTGGGGTCTTGTTATAGAACCTGGGTTTATATTTTTCCCAGGTCTTAAATAGGGCTGTTCTTATATAATGGTTATTAAAAAAATTTTCAATTTTGTTTTTGTTGAGCCAAAGATACCCGTGCCACCCCATTCTCAGGTCGTGCCCTTCTAGGGTTAGTAGTGTTTTGTTTTTTAAGGTGACCCAATCTTTTATCCCTACCAAATTGCATGCCTCGTAATATAATTTGAAGTTTGGGAGACCAAGGCTGCCTCTACTCTTATCGTCTGTTAATACCTTGAAATTTATTCTTGATTTCCCATTTTTCCATATGAATTTGGTAATATCCTTGTTCCATTTTTTAAAGAGGTGGTCATTTCTGATTATTGGTAGTGTTTGAAAGAGAAACATCAATTTGGGGAGAACATTCATTTTTAATATCGCTATTCTTCCCAGTAGTGATATGTTTTCGTATTTCCATCTCTCTAGATCTTTGTGTATTTTGTTCCATAGCTGCTCGTAATTGTTTTTTAAGAGTTTGGTGTTGCTTTGTGTTATCATTACTCCAAGATATTTAATTTTGCTTTCAATCTTTATCCCTGTCTTTCCTTGTAAGTTTTCTTTAGATGCTTTGTCCATGTTTTTGACTAAGAATTTGGTTTTTTGTTTGTTTAGTTTAAAACCTGCCAGGTTCCCGAATGTATCGATTTTAGCTAGCCAATCAGTGATTTTATCTATTGGGTTTTCAACTATGCAGACGACATCGTCTGCATACGCTCTTAACTTATATTGTTGTTTTTGGATCTTCATTCCTAGAAGGTTCTTATCTTTATTTATGTCTCTAATCAAAATTTCTATTATAAAAATGAAGAGGAGTGGGGAGAGGGGACAGCCTTGGCGCGTACCTTGCGTAATTTTAAAAGGGGTTGATTCTTGACCGTTTATTATTAGGGTGGCTTCTTGTCTCTCATATATCGCATTCACAGCATTTTGAAAATTGTAGCCAAAATCTAATTCTTGTAGTAACAGTTTTAGAAATGTCCAATTAACTTTGTCAAATGCCTTTTCGGCGTCTATGAATAGCAAAGCCAATTGTTTTTCAGAGTGTTTTTCAAAATATTCAATTGTGTTTAGTACTGTCCTTATATTATCTTTAATAAATCTATTAGGGAGGAATCCTGATTGTTCTATTGATATCCAATCTTTCATAAAGTGTTTTAGTCTCTCTGATAGAATTGTTGTAAATATTTTATAATCATTATTGAGCAGGGATATCGGTCTGTAATTTTTTGTTTCTGTAGGATTTGAGCCTTCTTTATGTATTAGGGTAATGTTGGCTGTTTCCCATGATTTGGGGATTGTTTTGTTTGTCATTATGTTGTTCATAATTTCTTTTAATGGGGGGGTTATCTCATCTTTAAATGTTTTGTAAAAAGTTGCCGTGAACCCATCTGGGCCTGGTGCTCTGTTATTTTTTAGTTTATTAATGGCCATATCGATTTCGTGAGTGGTAATTGGGCCGTTTAGGGTTTCTCTCTGTTTTTCTGTTAGTTTTGGTAAATTTTGCTTGCATAAATATTCCATGATTTTTTCCCCTGGGATGTCTGTTTTCTTATATAGTTTTTGGAAAAAGTTTAGAAATTGATTTGTAATATCCTTCCCTTCTGTAAGAATTTTCCCTCCCTCTTCAATTTTTGTGATTAGTTGTTTCTGTTTTCGTTTTTTTATTTTGTTAGCGAGCCATTTGCCAATCTTATTTGCGTTTTGGAAATACTGTGTTTTTATGTATTTCAGGTCCTTTTCAATTTTTTCTGTTTGTATTAGTTGTAGCTGTTTCTTGAGTGCTTCTATGTTTATTATTGTATTTTGATTTTTTGGATTTTCTTTTAATGCTCTTTCTTCGGTATTTAGTCTGTTAATGATGTTTTGTATCTCCCGGTTTTTATTTTTTTTGTTTATTGCGTCTTGCTGCATGAAATACCCCCTCATTACAGCTTTCATTGCATCCCACTGAGTATATTTAGATGTTTCTTCTCCTCTTTGAATTTTTGAAGAGAAAATGTGCCCTGAATGTCCCCTTCTGAATATGCAGCCACAAATTGAACCTCCTCATTACAGCAGAGCAGGATCTCTGACACACACTCAGGTTCTATGCTTTCTGCCAGTGGTGGTATTGTTACAGATGATATTATCTATCTTGTTGTTGTATCATTTTGAATCCAAAGAAGTTAATGAATGACCCTGTACTAAACTCAGTATCAAATGGACAATGAGACCTTCCTTGACTCCTTCTCCCTGTGACTGAATGGGTGGATGAACTGGAACTCTTAATAGATAGTACTATGTTCATCTTTGAAGTTGAGGCTAAATCGAAAGATGTAGCAAGAACTCAAGAGTCCTTTCCCATTTTGGAAACCTTCGAATGATACAGGCAATTTAAAAAAAATGCTTGATGAGAAAACAAGCAATTCTGTTAAACATAAGAGGTAGTAAGAAACCCTGTCCTGTTGTAGAATATTATTAGCACACTGCACACACTTCCTAAAAATGACTTTACCATGAACAACCAAGACCATAATCATGGGCTTCTTTTCTTCACTTCACTTTATTTCTTTGTGTGTAAAGACAAGAAAAAATAATGAAGAAAAATAAGCATCTTAAATAAAAATAATAAAGAATGAAGTAAGAATGAAGAAAAAGATTGAAGAACAATAATCAACACTGAAATAAGCTCAGCCAAAGTTAATGGAATGGGTTCTCTTCTACTGCTGATGCTATGGTTGAAGAAAAACAATTGAGGTGGGTATACTGCTGCATACTTGGTCAGATAAGGGAGCAATTACTTTCAAAAATCACTCTGCTGTTATAGAAGTTTCTAATGTGCTCTGCACTGGTGCACAATTGACTCATATATGTGAATCACAAAATCCATGAAGAAAGCACATTTCTAAACTTAGGATGAAATTATATTTAAATGAATAAACAGATTTCCCATATACTACTTGAGCATATTACTTGACATTTGGGGGCGCCATTTTTCCATAGTGGGCCAAGAGAGTTTTGTGGTCCCAAGGTTTGGGGAGGGTAGAGGTTACTAGTTTATCCTCATGTAAAACCAGTAGTTACTTGCAGTATTCCCTACTTTTCTATCTGGCTTAAGAAAATATCTAGAAATCAAGACACTTCATACTTAAGAATTCCACTTTCAAAGTGGAATCCTCGACATGCGAGTGTGGAGAGGAGCAAACCACTGACCACCTGCTGCAATGCAACCTGAGCCCTGCCACATGCACAATTGGGGACCTTCTTGCAGCAACACCAAAAGCACTCCAAGTGGCCAGATACTGGTCAAAGGACATTTAATCAACTACCAAACTCAAAAATGTTGTATTTTGTCTGTTTGTTTGCTTTGTTTCTGTTAGAAATGTAATATAATTGACTGGTTGCCCTGACACGACAAATAAAAATAAAAATACTTAAGAATAACTTTAAAAATAGCTATACTCAACAGGCTTGGAAATAATCAGTTCAGACCAAAAGTGGGTACACAAAAGAAGTGATCAGCCACCAACTTCATGTGTTCAGCATTTCTTTATAGACACACTCCATATATATTTTTACTGATTGGCTGGCACTTTGCTAGATTTTTATTATAAAGTACCATGCTTCGGAAACTTTGCCACTGAGAATAAACCAGTCCTCAAGTCAACAGTGTTGTTCTGTAAGTTTAAGTATTTCTGTTTTACCTGAAAGGCAGCTGAGGTGATCTGCAGCCCTTCCTGCATATTTTGTTGAAGTTGGTTCTGGATGGTAATTTTCTTCTCCTTAGTTATTGAGGCAACAGGGAAGCTTCGAATAACTGTTTGTTCTCCCACTAAGATTATTAGTCAAAGGAACACTGGATGATGAATCAAGTAATGAGATTTGTTCATGCTCTACATATTATACATTACATGTATCATATGTCTTGAATTCATGTATGGTAGCAAAACAAAATCAAAGCCACAAGGGTTATCAAAGTACTGAGCTCATTCCACAAAGAATATACTGTATAATGGAATCTATCGGGTTCCTGTCTAGCGCCCCCCCCCCCCAAATAAAAATAAATTGATGAATTTATTTTATGAATAAAGTGAAATGTAATATTATTAATGATGCATTTTATTACATCTATTCATTCAGTTAGAACTCACTACTTCAAAATGTATTCTGACAGACATGAAACCTATGTACGTTGACAAACAAATTAATTTTATCCAGCTGAGTAAGGTTTATGCTCGGTAAATGTGAACAGAATCGAAGTATCAGAAACTGCTATTCAAAAACATCTACAAGCCTTTACCAAACATACTGTTGCATAAAACCAGCCTCTTTAAAATGGACAAACAACACACTATTTTTCAATAGCCGTGGCAGCAGGAGAATTACAACTCCAGTAATGTTCTAGTAAGATTTGTGGAAAATCTGCACTAAATGATATTTTGTTTTCCTTGACACATTTGTTTTGATTGCCTTTGTATAACATTAACAATTTCAAGAAGCCAACAAGTGAAAAATACTATATACATTTGTACCCAAACTCTATATATACAGTATGATAAATGCTTTACTTAATAATAATAATAATAATAATAATAATAATAATAATAATAACTTTATTTATAGACCGCCGTCTCTCCCCGAGGGAGCTCAGAGCGGTTTACATACAAAAAGGCAAACATTCAATGCCATAGTCAACAAAAATGCACATATCAAGTCAATAAACTCAAATAAAAATACTAATATTTAAAAAAGTACAATTACATGTGCCCCAAAAAGTTAAAATGATTAAAATGCATAAAAAGTGCCTAACATATCATTAATGATTTAAAATGTATCGTATTGAATCACTGCTATACATAATTTTGGAAAGACACCATGATATCTAATATCTGTTCTTGACCCAAAAGGTATAATTTCTTGTCTTAGCATTTGTTAGTGTAGTCAATTTTAAGCTCAAGCCACAAATGTGCTGATGAATATAAATATAAATATTTAAGGATGTAAAATTAGTTACATTTTTACAATATACACCACTTTCACTTTTGTTTCTTTTCCATGGTAAAAGAATAAATTGGAATGTCCTCTTTGACTTTCATGAAACCAAAACCAAACTATATGAGTTCAAAATTTTTGCCCCTTTGGCTGAAGTAGCAGTTTTTCCATCCCTTCCTTCTTGTACCCTCTTTCTATTCTCTTTCCCTCTCTCTGCCTTTTCTTTCACCCCTCCTTTCTTGTATGTTCTTTTTTTTCCCTTTGCCTTTTATTTTGAGGCTTCTTTCTATTCTCTTTTCCTCCTTTAGCCTTTCTTTAAAGGCTCCTCTCCCATCTTCCTTCTTCTACTTTGTTCTCATTATAATAATAATAGTAATAATAATAACTTTATTCTTCTATCCTGAAGGGATTCAGGGCAGCTTACATGGGGGCCAGGACAGTCAAACAGAATTAAAATATAACACAATGAAATACACTGCATTACAATAAATTGAAGCAAAACAAAAAAAAACGTACAAAAATCATAAAACATAAACTATCAACAACCAATAGCCGAGCAGAGTGGGCATGTTCAGGGCTGAGAGAGCGGGACAAGGGCTTGTGCAATACGACTGCAAGGGCGGGGCTGGTAGTAAAGTGCAAAAGCCTGATATTAAGTTAGGGCTAGAAGGGCCAAGTCAATTGATGAACAGATTAATCAAATTTAATGTGCATTACATTTGCCAGCAAATCCTTTTTTGGTTTCAGGGTCTTGAAAACTGAGGTTTGCACTGGATTCAAGTAAATATGGGTAGATGACAGGGTTAAATACTAGTCTCAGGTGTATTCTGGTGTAACAGTTATTTTAACATGCTTAACCAAACCATACCTAGTTGATCATGTGGTGTGCCTTTAAATATAACTCTGTAAGTTGTGAGGAACAAAGCTCCTTCTGCAGGGAGAATATGAGGTCCTCCAAGTAATCCTCCAGTGGCCTCTTCTCTGCCATCGGGATCCAGGAGCACGCGAAGACCTTCACACACAAACTCTTCTCCTGGTAGCAATGCTGGCCGTAGAATTTTGGGCTGGACCCAAAAACAAGAATTTTTATTTTAATTTTAAAAATACGTACATTGTGTAGTACACTATAGGTGTCATACTAAAATGTTTTGGCCAGAAATACTGCAACAACTTATTGTGAAAGTATCTAGTAACGGTTTGTATAAAATGAAGAACAATGTGCTGTTTCTAGAGGTGCATTATCATGCAGAGTTTTCTACTATAGGGGCAAGACTTAAAAGCAACCAAAACCAATGCTCGCTTATTAAACTGAAACCAGTGCATTCCTCAACTCTACAACCTAGCAGGGAGCTACCAGCTTCTGGGATAGGCTACACATATCACTTTTGGTTAGGATTTGAGAGCCTCCTAAGGACAACAAATTATGTGAGGATTTACTGATTTGGCCTTCCCCAGACTTTGCTGGACTCCCTTGGGATCCATAATCCATTTTGTGACTAGAAATGTCTCTGGGAAAACCTGTAACACTGTGCATGTGTGGGAATTTTGGACTATAAATAAAATGAGATTAAACCCTTGGCAGAAAAACTTTGCCTTTGGTTGCCTCCCTTTTTGCTAGCAAGTAACAACATTTTTATTCAGGCAGGCCTCTGAATTTTAATTGTGGAGCAGTAGTATGGTGTGTTGTATAGTTACTGGTGTGTTGTATAGTTACTGGTGTGTTGTATAGTTGGTGTGTTGTATAGTTAAATCTTTTATTGAAAATTATGTTTGCTCTTTATAGCAGTTTTAATCATGTTTTAAAAATAACTCTGTTTAATCTTTTTAAACTTTTGTAAAATGTTTCAGTTTATTTTTTCAAAATTATTGTAAGCCATATTGAATTCCATATTGGGAGAAATATGGAATATAAATTCTATAAACAAACGGACAAAAAATAAGTTTAACTAATTAAATATCCTGCCTCTTCAATCTTGCTGTTGCTATTATTGCACTACTTTTTCTCTTTCAAAAGAGATTCAGAGTGAAGGAAGATCTTATGTTTTCAGAAATGTATAGCTAAATTACATCCCAGAGTGCATTACAAGGTATAATCTCATAACTACATTCTTACCAAAAAGTTATGTAGTTTGCACCCTGCATCTTGGAAGTGAGTTTCATTGCAGACCTCACAGCAACAGCATCTGGCCACATTTCTGGACTTTCCTGTTTCTTTCAGCAGTCTTCCCCTCAACTTTTAAACTACATACTTCAAAAATGTCTGGTGAAGAGTTCTGAAGAACCCCAAACCTGCACAATTTTGTGGCATTTTGGTGAATCCCCATTGGGGAGATAGGGTGGGATACAAATAAAGATGATGATGATGATTATTATTGCTAACTGAGTCACTGCCCAACTAAGCATCTTGGTTTCATTTTATTATTTACTTATTTCTTATTTCACTCTGGAAAGCCTGTGGGTGGCCAGTAAGTAGCAGAAGACACACTACTTCTGCTGGTCTTTTTGTTTGTTTGTTTAGAGGTTTGATTGGGCTATTTTTCATACTTTATTTTTCACTAAACAATAGATGAACTGCTTTTTTGTTGAACGTTACCAATGTTTCAATATGCTTTTAAACTGATGCAACTATATTAGAAATAAACATTCCCTAACCTATAGAACTGGCCTTATGCTTGATATGTTTGTATCTTTAGAAACACAGCCCTAAATACTTGCCTTCTGTATTGGTGGTAACCTTCTACTTTCTCGATGGACAGCCTCCAAAGTTTCAATGTGCATTGCTACAATTCCTGGGAATAAATACCACCACAAATGAGCAGAATACCACAAAAGCAAAACAAACTAAAACAGGTCTCCCATTCTAAAAACTGCTCTCAGAATACCTGAAATAGGTTTTTCACAACAAACTAAATTAAAATTACCAATGTTCACTGTCAACAACAACAACTCTTTCCAAAAATATTTTCTCTTAGGCATTACAAAAATAACTCTCAAAACAATTTCAAGACTGAAGCATTTTCTTCATACCTGGTATCATGCAATGAAGACTCCGAATGTGGTCCTGTGTAACTCCACTTTCTGTACAAACCTTGTCTATGAATCTGGTAATGAAACGCACAACGGCATTGGCAATATCATTGTTTTCAGAATCCTCAAACCCACTTTCGGTATCATAGCTCTCAGCAACACTACCTGCAATGCTGAGAAAGCAATTCTAATCAGCTAAACCAACACTTGGAGGTTTGCTCATTTTAAAAAAAAACATCATGTGGGAGCCTTGATTACACACCTATTTGTGACAATGCTATTGCTTCCACTTTCCCAGTCTCCTGTGGCTGAAGTTCTTAACAGTTTATTTTTACTGGTATCCAATGGCACCAGCAAGTACACCATGAGATTGGCGAAATGAATTGCTTGGCTGAAAACCATGCTTTCCTCACTTTGTACCAGCTGCTGTTGAATCTCTTTGCTAAGTGTTGGCCAAAGGCGCAACTGCTCAGCAGCCAAGTCCATTGCAGTCTTTTCTTGAGTATTGCCTTCAGAATTGTTCTCCTAAAGGGGGAAAGTAGTCACAACATTATATCACTTTACACTGTTTTAAGAATCCCTTTTCTTGATTCTAGCCTGAAGCAAAGTATGGAGGAGAATGTCTACCCCACAAACCAGAGAGAAATAACAGTGATGAATAAAAAAACCTATACTGTAACCTTTATTAAATAATCAAACACATTTCAAAGTAAAAGTGAAAACTAGTATTCACAAAGTATAATGCAGCATGACATAAAGCCACTGCAAGAGGAGGGAGCTGGAGTTTTTTTTGCTCATGGAGAATTATGAATCCCTCTTCTTCATGCTCTTGGCTATTATCTTAAAATTCAAAGAACTGTTTCTGCCAGATACTCATAGAATGTGTAACAGTGTATGATAATTGGTACTACTAAGGAATGATGTATTCAGGTCCAATCTACTCATAAGCCTTTCTATGCAGTCCTTTGTTCAGCCCCCTCTTTTCACAGTGCAATTTTACAAACTAATTTATAGGTTGCTGTTCCTTTTCCTTTCCAAATCCTTGGTTCATGCTGAAAACAATCTTGAATTGGATGGAAAAAGATTAAACTGTGTGACATCAATGATTCAGTCCAATCATATGTAGCACTTCAGTAGGTGAGTCACGTGCAGCTATAAATAGTTTATACAGCATCAGAAATGTTCATGTTTTCACTTGCCGTATTTATCATTCTTAGTAAACTGGGTGGATGGCACGTAGGCAAAATGTATTGTAGCCAGATTAAACTAGGGCAAAGGTATCTGGCAAGCGTTATCGCATTACCTCACGTATGGTGAAATTTACAAGAATTATTGTATAATCAGTTCTCTAGATTTCTACAGGGTATGGGGCAATACTTGCTACAACAGCCCTGGAGTTCCACCCACACAATTGTTCTTATCAATCTTACCCTCACTGGACCACATCTGAATTTAGACATGTGGAGCTGGACTGGCCAAAGCAAATTACCTGGCCACCGTAGCATTTTTTTTTAAAAGCCCTCCACAGAACTCTGCTTAGGAAAGAGGCTTGATTTAGAGGAATTCTCCTATTTATTTATTTTATTTATATCCCACCCTTCTCAACACTGAAGGGGACTCAGAGAGGCCTTACAATTAGGCTGCAATTCGATGCCAAAAATAAACATGCAATAAATAAAAAGTTACATTAAAACAACACAATTTAAAACCAATTATTAAAATCACACCATCCAAAATCATAATCCGAAACTGTTCCATTTGTTAATTCGCTATTCCTTATTCTCTTGTTGCATTAAAGACTGAAAGCTTGGGCACATAACCACATTTTTACTTTCTTCCTGAAGATCAGGAGGAAGAGGGCTGCTCTAATTTCACTAGGAAGGGAGTTCCAAAGCCGAGGGGGCCCAAATGAGAAGGATCTGTCCCTCGTCCTCTCCAGTAGCACCAGCGAAAGAGGTGGGACCAAGAGCAGGGCCACCTCAGAAGATCTTAATTTCTGAGGTGGATCATAGAGGGAGATATGTTCAGACCAGTAAGCTGGGCTGGAATCATTTAGGGCTTTATAGGCTAAAGCCAGCACTTTGAATTGTGCTCGGTAGCAGACTGGCAGCCAGTGGAGCTGACATAACAGGGGAGTTGTGTTCTCTGTATGCTGTCCAGTGAGGAATCTGGCTGCTGCTCATTAGACCACTTGAAGCTTCTGAACAGTCTTCAAAGGCAAGCCCACGTAGAATGTGTTGCAGTAATCTATCCTTGCTGTAACAAGAGCGTGGACCACTGCAGCCAAGTCTGGCTTCTCAAGGTACGGAAGCAACTGGCGCACAAGTTTTGATTGTGCAAATGCTCCCCTGGCCACCATTGAGACATAGGGTTCAAGGCTCAACAATGAATCCAGGAGAACTCTCAAGCTGCAAAACTGTGTCTTCAGAGGGAGTGTAACCCCATCCAACACAGGCTGTAACCTTATTTCCTCCATACTATAGCCCACTCCATTCAGCAAGGTTGGACAGGGAAGAGGGGAAGATGGACAAGGAAAGCCATTTTGCTAGCCCATGTTACATTTATTTAAATCTGAACCCAATCCATAAAATACAGTATACTAGTCACAAGCTTCCTGTTGTTGCTTTTCCTACATTTTTAATATTCTAGATAATGCAGAATATATGTTGTTGGAAACTCAAGATCATTATGACAATTGCCAATATTTTACACAACCAACACGCCTTTATCAGCTCTATATAGGAAAACTTCCATTCAAGTGAATAAAAGGGAGAAATAAAGTAGTGTTTATCTGTTGCTAAAAAACAAGAAAACAGATGATTTTTTTGTATTCATTTTTAAACATGTTATCTTAAAAAATACATAGGCAAGTATCTGGAAGTGGTGATTTTCTTCTAACACTCTGAAATACATCTTGGATATATGCTCAGTTGACAGACATGTTGTCATATATATACCAGGAACCAGATGTGTGGATACAAGTTAATCATATTCTATCTTTTCCTACTACATCTATACTTCATAGCTTTCTGCAACAGGCACTCTTTCTCTTTCAGTAGTCATTGCCACACAAACTTGAGACAAACAGGTTGGTAATAAATATGACAATTATATTAGCTTCCAGGTTCTACATAAGATCTAGTCTAAGGTCTGTATAAGTAAACATAGCATAGCTATTCATTGCTGCTGTGAGGCAGGGGAAGGGGGAGAAATTGTTAGTTTGGACATGGCTATGGGATTCATAATGGTGAAATGTCTGCATACTAGGTTTCCTTTGGCTTGAATATTTATAAGGTTTGTCCATTTCTGATGTAGTAAATGAAACATTCTTGAAATAAGTTTTCTATTGGAGAACTGTTTGATTTGAAGTAGAAGGAGCTGAGCTCTGCCGGGGCTAGAAATTCATGTACCAATGGATGTTTGTATTGTTACCATATCTTAATATATTCATTCATCCTAGTAGTACAAGTTTTAGAGCAAACATTCAAGTGATTTATGAGAACACTTGGTGCCAGGTGTTTTCATTCAAGACAAAACTGGCTTTCTACAGAAAACAGTTCAATTTGATTACAATCTAAAATAATTATTGGTATGACTCATGTTCATACAGCACTATTTCAAATTTTTGAGATTATTTTTGTTAAAAAACAGAAACAATAAACTGTATATATTTTAAACATTTAAAATATTACATTTGCTGATTATATAGAGCACTCTTGTCAGAGAGAACACACTTCAAACATTTACAGTGACTTGGAATCAAAATTAAGATTGTAATTTTTTTGTTACCATTCTGCTTGCTGTAAACACATATATACATCTTGGCATGAGTTAGGTGAAAAGCATAAGCTATTCTTTACAATATCATAGTGAACTTGTAAAAAGTGTTATATGCCATAACCCTGGTTTAGCTTAGCTTATTTGTTTGCATTATTCTTTTACTTACTTTCTGCTTTAGGTTTTGTGGATGATTGTCTTCCTTAGCTGATAGGTAGAGGGAACGAATTTGATTTTCCACATCACTATAAAATGTTGTTTCCCAGAACTGCTGGTTAGCCCATATCGGGTGATCTTGTACACAGGTATAAGCAAATTGACTGACTCCTGGAGCTAGCTTCTGAAAATGCAATAAATCATCAGAATGACTTTTTAGAGTGAGGACTAATCATAGCCTCCTGGTTATAAAAACATAAAAAGGATTGAGTTTCACATCACTTTATATTCTACACTTAATAATCCCAAGCACCAATATCACCCATGAATTCAATTGAGTTAGCACATGCATTATTCAGTTTTTAAAAAATATCACAGAAGCCTCACTTTGAAGTCAGGAAACTGGGCTGTGATTAACAGTAAGGAGCTGTAAAGTTCTCTAGTGATGAAATATGAATCCTGAGATTATGGTTGCTTACAAGAGCTGGCATACAGAATACCGAAACATCAGATAAATTGTCATTTATTATCTTCATACAGGCTGGTGTTATATGTTCCCAGTAAGTTTTTTCCATCGGGTAATTTGGAATGGACCCTCACTAGGTTGCATAATGCAATGTTTCCAGAAACAATGTTCATCATTGCAAGTCTATTTGCAAAGTTCCTTCAAAGAAGGCAAAAATGGATCCTGTGACCAGTGTGATTTAAATGCTCTTCTTGACACTTCAGATGTTCCACCTACATTGTAGTACTTCCTTCCTCTCATTCCTCTGCGGCGGATTAATCTTGTTGAATCCTATATTAAATCAATTCAGTATTTTAAAATTGGCCTGCTATTAAAATGCATTCAGAGTTCACAATAGATTTCATGACTGTTATTCCAAAAACCATTTCTAAACTCCAAATTATTATAGAGGTTTCTTTCCATGCCTTCTATGTATACTCAAGTCTTTCTGAGGATCGCCTGCAGGTGTCTAATTTTGAGAACAAGGATGGGTGTTACTCAAGACAACCAAATTGCAGCCAGCAGATGGCAATATATTTCTGTGAAAATTGCATACCATTCTCCTCTATGATAGCCTTTTGAAATAATTATGTTGAGTACTCCATCAACTAAATTAACATACACGATTGACTTCTTCTCAACATATCTACCTGTAAAAGAAAACCTTGCCATACACCAACGTACCCAAACCATAACGAGTCCTAAATTCACTTAGCCTCCTGAGGTGGTTCCATGGAAGCAAATGTATACAAATTACATTGTAACAACGACTGCAACACACGTCACAGATATCTATAGCTTTTAATGAATACTCAAGAAAATAGGAAGCTGCTTTATGCTAAATCAGACTATTGCTCCAATCAGCTTAGCATTATCGACTCTACAACGGGGGAACAAAAATGGAACATTTCTAAAGAAACCAGGATGGATGTACAAAGACTTTTCAGATGACCCAGATTTTAAAAAGAGACATGTAACAAGAGGAAGAAGGAGAAAGTCACAAAAATACAAACTAATAGCCAGTGCATATAGGAAGAAAAGTCAGAATAGCTAAAGTTCAGAATTAACTCAGAATTGCCCAAGAGGTTAAAAACAAAAAGCAGCTTTGAGGCTATATTCAGAGCAAGTAAAAGAACAAAGAAATAGTAGACCATTGTGTAGAAAAGATATTAAAATGCTAACGAGATAGAGAGAAGGCCAATCTGTTTAATCTTCTTTGCCTCAGTTTTCTCCCAAACAGAAAGCGGTATTGGTAAAACTAGAATAAGCCAAATAGTAGGAGGACTGTATCTCAGAACTGGTAAAGGAATGCCTAGTTACTCAAAATGAATTAAGAGTACGAAAGAAATGCATGGATGCAATATTAGCCACAATCAAAAGCACTGCAAGTAAAATGTCTTATTAAGTATATGTAAAATATCGCATCTTACAGCTTCTTTTTGAAATTTTAAATCAAATAACCAAAAGACTGAAGTTCAAATATATACTATGACAACAGTGAAAAAACTCTCCTGAAGCATAGCAAGGCTAAGAAAATATAGATAAATATATAGCATATCTATATGCAAAATAATCCATTAAGGACATGATCCAACCAAAATAAACTATTTTAAAACTCACTGAATTTAAAAGGAGATATTTAAGCATATACATATAAATTCACCATTGATTTCAATGAGAAGAAAAAGTGCTTCCCTTGGCTGGTTTGTGTCCAATATTTTCACATTTGTACATTTTACTGCACAATCCTAGTGTAGTCTTAACAGTCAATACTCAGATTTCTCTAGCGTAATATGTGGTACAAATATTGAATTTTTAGATTCAAGCTGAGGATCACATTGCCCTTTCCCCATACACTTACAGAAACAACATAAAGGGTATTTTTGCCAAGAACATTTTTGATACTAAGTTATAAAGCCTCAACGGGAAACATTCTAGAAATTCTGATGGAACGTAACTATCATAGTGTGAATGGCGCCACTATTATATGTATATTCAAGAAGGTTCTTTTGTATGCCAATTTAAACATGATTAAAATGGGTAAAGTAATGAAATTAAAGACTATCTGTGACTCTACACATATATTCAAGGCATTTGGACCAAGGAAATAGCTCCTATCTTACACTGTGATTAATCTCAAGTCTTAGAACAAACACAGATATCTACAAGATTCTTTTAGCTTCATGAACTTCCCACAATCTCTGATATTAGTGATTAGTTTCCCAACAGGTCTATAGAGACACATATAGATAGTCAGATAATTTTCCTTTATTAAAACATTAAAAAACCCTGCAATCTGACTCACAGCAGGATGGGAGCATATTTGTTGTTATGTGTCTTTGCATCGACTCTGATTTATGGCCCTATCACAAGGTTGCCGTGGCACAATTTATTCATAGGAGATTTGCTAGTGCTTTATTCACAACTGCAACAAAAATGACTTTATATGGGGCAAATCCTAAATTTCAATAGCTCAGTAAAAAAGGGTTTCAATTTGATTAAAAAAAAATACACGGATTCCTGATTTGATTGCAAATTACAGCAAGAAGTTAAATAAAAGTGCGAGAGTAAAACAAGCATTTCAAAGTCAATGTCTAAATCTACTAAAGCAAATGTATTTTAAGCATGTCATTATGCCACTACTGTGCTCTTTTACGTAATAAGCTGGATCTCATTTGTGTTGGCCATAATGTTAGCCAAAGTGATTTCTTCAGAAATTAATGGATACAAAATGCTTTGCTTGGGGAATATGTAAAGAATCAGGGTGGAGGAGAATGCAGAATTGTAAACACTACTACAAATGATGAATTATCCTGCTAATCCCAAGAGTTACATGTATAAAATATTTCCCCAATGTTGAATTTTTTGTGTCAAACAGAGTACTAATTAGGATATTTTTTAACAAAGGAAATCATACACCACTGAGAAATCAAACAAATGTCATCCAAGTACTTACCATTGGAAAAAAAATCATAAAAATAAACTTTGGGCAATTGAGGGCATGATACCATTATCTGTAAGTATTCAATTACATAATGTAATTGCGCACTACTATTTCTAAATGAAATATCTATTTTTTCTCCTTAGATGTCATGTTAGCAATACATCTAAACTTAGTCACAACTTAGGCCACTTCCACACAACTGAATGAAATCCCACATATTCTGCTTTGAACTGGAATATTTGGCAGTATGGACTCTGATAACCCAGATCAAAGAAGATATTGTGGGATTTTCTGCCTTGATATTCTGGGTTATATAGCTGTGTGGAAGGGCCCTAAGTCTGCAGTTCTCAACTCATTTTCAGAGATACTACACAGGCCTAGCTCAAAACATTTTGCTGCCTGAAGCAAGAATGCAAGGGTTCTTTCCCCATTTGCTATTTATAAAAGTCAAGTGGACTGGAAGAGATCTGTCACTTCTAAAGCAGCAAGTGATTTAGGTTTACTAGGCCATACATAACTCTTCTTAATTGGAGAAAAACAGGGCACAGTTGTCCGCCCCCCACCCCATCATCTGCCCCGGTCTTTCAAACATTTTGGTATCAAGGTATTGGATAGGATACATAAAATGTCATAATCATTTCCGGGAAATGTATTCAAGGATAACTGAGTTGGCCGTGCAGCAAAATAAAACAAAATACAAAAATCCACAAAAGTGTGATAGTTTTATTAACCAACCAAAATATCAAACTAACAAGTATCCCCAAAGCCCACTTCATGCACATTTTTGAATCTCTACTAGCTTTCTCACCAGGTACAAGAGCTTAAAAAATAATACAGATGAAAAGTAACAGTGTTAGAGCCACAGGCCTACATTTTGAATCAGAGGTTACTTTTGTTATTCACTTGGCCTTATAGTGGGGACATTTAGAATCATAGTTAGAAGAAATCTCGTGGGCCATCCAGTCCAACCCCCTGCTAAGAAGCAGGAAAATCGCATTCAAAGCACCCCCGACAGATGGCCATCCAGCCTCTGTTTAAAAGTCTCCAAAGAGGGATCTTCTTCTTTTTGGCTAATTGGGGACCAAGATAAAGGACAATAAAATTTAAGCTTCATTAGACAGATGATGATACAGGGGATTAGGACTTAACATTTGGAGGTTTCTGCTCCAGTAAAAATAAAACTCCTGAATGGTTTTTTAAACATTTTTTTGCAACATGAAGAAACCAAGGGAGCTTTAAAAACTTGCCTTTCGGTTAGCCAGTACAATTATTGCTCTTTTCTGCATTTTGTTTCATATTTATCTTGTTCCTTTTGCCTCTCCAATCTCTCCTGTGGTGGCATTTTATATTATCTTCCTGTTTCGTTTTTGTGACATTGGTGAACAGCAAGGAAAACTAGCAAACAACAACAAAACCTTTCACCTGCTTTTAGTTCATCAAAACTGTCTAGTCCTTATCCCTATCCCTGTGAAAATCTGCAAGTTTCTTGAACACGTTGATGCAAACCGCCCCAAAACACTGTTTTTTATACAAATTTATACCCAATTCCATCCTCCCCCCCTTCATTGTAATTGAGAATTGGTAGGTTACTCACCTGTAACCACCTTTCTTCGAGTGGTCCTCTGTGAATCCACCACACATATGGAGTATCTGCGCCTGCGCAGGCTCCAACGGAAAACTTCCCAAGTTGAAACTTTTAAGTTTTGGCAGTAACTCTGCCCAGCCGCCCAGCAGG